AGTCATTTATTCAATCATTTCCGAAGATGGTCTATTTTTGTAAGAATAATAATTTCGATAAGAGTCAGGTTGGTTTGGATTCGATTTGTAACAAGTCGCAATATCTTGGGCGAATGCTAATTAGAAAAAATGCGAAAACGGAACGTTTCCTGCGACAATTCCGCGCCCACAGTGGAACGCACAAACACACAATCGCGACCGCAATAACGGAGAAATTTCCAGAAATCGTGTATTTACCATTGATTAGAGAGCAAAGAGTATTTATTTATCTATAGACAATAAACAGGCTGCAATTTATGAATTTTTTCGTTTTTCTGGTATTGTCGTTGCGCGCGTACGTGTGTCCCTGCTATCTTTCGCTATCGGTTATTGAACTCCCCCGTTTTAACAACATGGCAAAGCAATGCCTGACATGACCGCATTTTCAGACCATGCCAATCCTATTTGGTGCATTAATAGTTGGCCAATAACAAACACCATTTCGAACGACGTATTATAGTCTTACCAAAGTCGATTCAATAAGATAGAAATGTACCAAACAAATTGAAATTTTATTTTCGATGAGTTAATAATATTGTTTAATGTGCCTAAGATAATAAAATATGGTGTAGTAATTTCATAGGAAAGCGGTTTTGTAGATGTAGTATTCAATTGATTTCGGGAAGACTATAGTATCTAAAAAATGGTGGTTGACCCCTCGAAAAATCGCGTACAGTAAATGTGATACATGTGCGTAGATTGTATAATGAGTAATGAGAATATTCACCGAACTCGCGATCGCGAAATAAAACATTCAATTAGATTCAATCTAGGCCAGGATTCACTGTAAACGCGCGCTCTCTATCACATACGATTTCCATCGAATATTCCAACGAAAAAAAAAAATAGAGGAGGGACATTTTTCTTGTTATTTCTTACCTACTTATCCAAAAATAATAACCATACCTGTTGCTTGTCTAACGAATTTATCAACAACTTCGGCTTTAATTTTTTCGGTTTTTCGATTGTCAGTTCTGCCGAGAAACGTGACTGGAGATTCGATTTCCGTGTAATTGTGCATCTTGCGTACTAATTTTCGGGAAGCCAAATGGACACATTATCATAAAGCTCTTTTGTGATGTTGCCGATTCAAATTATACAGTACCTATAATAGAAATAGAAATATTTTATTACTACATGTTACAGACACATTTAGCACAAGTCAGAGTAGATACTAGATGAAATTTCAATTACGTTTTCATTGAAAAGCTTTTGAAAGCTTTTGAACTCAAGCAGATAACTTTCCAGATATTTTTTGAACATATTTGTAGGTCCTTCTTGTGTATTGAACAATCTATAATATAGCTTGATATTCATTTGCTTTACATGATTTTGTCTACGAAATAGTGCCAAATTTTAAGTAGAAAAATGTGTTCTCTAGTCTTCTGCATTGGCCTTATAGCATTGCAGTAAGCGAGCACGTCGACTAATTTACAAATTAGGCTGTAAATGGATCTGAGAAATCGGCGAAACGAGCTGAAAGCGAAAGACGAAAACGGAAGGCATGAGAATAGAAACGCCGCACCGCACCCTAAAATAATTAGTCGAACGTATTTTTAGTGAATGCGCTTCTTCTCCGATAACTGTAAAAATATTCCGAAAAAATAGAAACCGCGCGTTCGAAATACATGTGCAAGATTCGGTGATGAAATTCGCTTATTTTAACAGTGCTGTAACATCGCTTATATCGCGAATAAATTTTTCGCTGTTATCAGAATTGCTCTGAATTTAACAAATTTTACTCACCATTACATTCATTTAATCTACCCTCTTTTTTCCAAACATTTATATAACCAAGAGGAACTGAATTGGTTGAATACAAAGTAGATATAGTCCGATCCTGTGCGCCCGCTTGCGGTTTTTTCTATAGCGAAAGTAGTTCATTCACTCCGAGTGTCGAAATATGATGGTCGAAAATTACGATTATGGCGAATGTTTTTACCGAATTCTTCTATTTTAAGGTCAACCCGTTTGTATTTTCCATAGTACCATTTAATAAATTTACCTTTCGGCTCGACCAACAACCCTGAGGTGGGTAATTGGCGATGTTAATGCTAGTAGATTGAAGGTTTCGATTATCACGAATTAGAGTGAAGGTTCTCGAATTAATTTAATTTTTAGTTATTATACGTATACGCATTATTGTTAGATATTTTAATTGATAACGAGCTACATACTTACTAGACAATTAATAATTTTTTATGAATTGGTAGATAACCAATTAATATTTGACTCACTTTTTTAATTATTAAGCGAAATAATTAAGCTGTAATCGGCCTTTAAAATCTTGGCTATGCATGAGTATTTTAGAGATAATAATACAATTTCGTTGGAGACATTTTAGATAGAATTTCGTTTCGCCTACAGGTGTGTAGGAACAACGAGAAAACCTAGTCAAATCCGAAGAGGAGAAATAGAAAAAAAAATCGTCGGACCTGTTTAATTATTTCCAACTTGTCCTATAAATACGAAGAGGCGGACGTGGAACGTGGAAGAGGCGCGGGGGGCCCGGCTATTTAGAATCTGAATATACTGAATATATCCCGTGAATCGAATAATCGAGCCGCCGCCATTACCGTTAAAAATCGACGGATTTTTATCTCTAGTCTGGATGGAGAAACGCTTCTTAAACCTTCTTACTAAAATTCCGCTTTTTTATTTATTTGGAGATTATTTCCTCGACTCGTATACGCAATATATTCACTCTCCAGTTCGAATTTTAAGAGGAATTAAGGGGAATTTTAAGGAGGATTTTAGGGGAGAGTTTGAGGAAATTTTAATGGGAACTTTAAGAGCAATTTTAAGAGGAATTCTTAGGCAACTTTAAGGATTTGAGAGAAGATTTTTAAGGGGAAATTTATGGTAAATTTAGGCGAATTTTAAGGTGAATTTTAATGGGAATAAGGAATTTAGAGGAGAGTTTGAGGAAATATTAATACGGTAATATTGGGAATTTTAAGAGCAATTTTTAGGGGTGATTTTGAGGGAAATTTTCATAGAATTGCATGGCCATCCTCTTGGCTTGGGCCATTTTTTGCGACATATATCAGAAAATAATCCGAAAATCTGATAGCGCGTTCGTGCGTGCTTGAATGAAAAAAAAACCCTCGACAACAACGAAAATCGAAAAGTCACCGGGAATGAAAAGTTCGGCCGCGGAATCGGACGACAACAAAAAAAAATTCACCAAACACCTGTACGAGGATGCACCGCGTTGATAAAAGATAGATTTGAAGATTTATCATAATTCATACGGGGCCGTGGGTATGGTATACCTGCAGGCGAGCGATGCGGATGAAATTCGAATTTTTTTATATAAAGACGCGAATAAAAGGGCCCTGCTATAATCGTGCTCAAACAACCGGCGAGAAGATTCGGGATTTCTTTCCCATGGGTCTTTTTTTTTGTATATTATCGGACAAGACGAAACCGAGAAAGAAACGAGCGAAGACTTATAAAACTTGGAAGGTGCGGGCGACAGGGCGCGTATCATTTGCCATGGACGGGTTACAGTCGACAATGAAGGGCTTCTCGGAGGTTTTCGTCGCTGTTTAAGGGAACTTTAGGGCGAGACGGAACGCTAACATCCGGATTATTTTTATACAAACATTTACAGGTTTTACTATGTGTACTATTGCGTTTGTTCTAGCTGTTCAACAAAATTATGCGTCTGTTAGTTTGCTAATAATTCTAACTGATTCTCCACTAAATGCATTTTTTTGTATTCGTAAAATAGCTCCTTTATCAATTTTTTTAATTATTTTTTTCGAGTACTTTTTAATTTTCCCCGTTGTATTAAAATTTCGTTATACATTTTTCGTGTTACGTAACTTTTATGCAATATATCCATTCAAACTTTATCAAAATATTTGTTAAGTAATCAAGATACATTCGAAATTATGAAAAAAATTTTGATAACGACAATCGAAGAATTGATAACGAAGTGGGTCAACGTCCCCTTAAAAGTAGTTTGATCGTGAAAAAAATAATAATCGTAAAAATAGATATCATTGATTGTTTCTAATTCAATGCATGCGTACTGTTTTTGGAAAAATATGGAGATTTTTAAGTAAATTTAACCGGTTTATTTGAATTTTGATGCAACTTGTTTGTATCAAATATAAACAGAGTTCTGCAAGAAATTTAATATTTTTACAGTTACATAAGGAAACGTGTAAAGAAAATGTACACTATCATTAATACAAACTTTTTATTTTTATAATTTTATAATAAGTTGATTATACTTGTAACTTATTAAATAATTAAGTTTAAAGATAATAATTGATTAATAAATACGAAAATAGTTAGGACGTTTATATATAGATGACGCCAGTAGTTTGATTTTGCAGGGCCTAGACAGCCTTATGAGAAATTTTAGACTTTCATTTAGTTTCGGCGCTATTGATAGATGGCGCAACAGTAGTTTATTTCCAGGGCCTAGACAGCCTTATGAGAAATTTTAGACTTTCATTTAGTTTCGGCGCTATTGATAGATGGTAGTTTATTTCAGGTCAGCGCAAGCAACCCGCTCAACGCCGTATTTCAAAAACAATAATGATTTTGGTTGCAATTTAAGTTACTTGTCTACTCGTAGCAAAAAAGGCCAGTAATGGCCTTCGATATCAAAGAAATCCAACTACTTATAATTATAACGAAAAAGAAGAAATAACAATAAACGTCAAAAATTTATTATTCTTATCGTTAAATGTTATGAATTATCGCATAACTTTACGATTTTAAAACATATTAATAAACCTGTTTTTTTCTAAGTAATTTTAAGTGTATCATTTCAAATATCAAACCGGTGACGAATTCGAGCGACATAAATGGCCCGTTCGGAGTTGCGCGTTGGGCAGGTTTTCATTTTGCCATCGCGTCACATGACCATCGGTTTGGCCCCGTGACCAAAATTGAAGGAAAATTCAAAATCGTTGGCGAAAACGAATAAAATACAGCACGGCATGGACATGCTGGACCCCTTGGAGACCGGGTAAGACTGGAATATATCCACGAAACGATCGAATATTTCCCCGGTTACGTAACGACCTATTTTCGGCAAGGTCAAATTCTGCACCTCTCGCACGTATATCGAAAATTATGCAGATTGAATAATTGATAGCGGTTCGTTTGCAGGGATTCCGAGGAAGCCGAAAATAAGATTTTACTAAACGAGATCCACATTAAAGGACAAATCGACAGCGATGAGGAAGCCAACGTCGATCACCTTTCACCGCAAACGCTTTTAGAAACACCAGAACATGAAGTTCAATATTCAATTAGATCACCTGAAGGTATAAAATAATCACAACATTCCCCTGTCAATTAATCCTTCAACTGTCTGTCACATTTTTAATAATCAACAATTAATATGATTCATAAACAGTACACTTTACACAGCTAATTTTCTAAAATATACGCTATTTTAGGTAACATGATAACCTACAGGGTGCTTCAAGTAGACGAATCGAACGTCGAAACCGGGCCCCAATTGGTAACGACAGCGCCGGGCAATTTCAATCAAGTCTCCCAAGTGATCGGGAGCAATTTGAACGGGCAGTTGTACGTGATCGGCAACGCCAATGAAATGTTCACCGCTCAAACGGGCGCCAGGGCGATTGCCCCCCGGACGGCCATAGTCGAGTCGAGCACCAACACCGTGACGACCACCATAAAAAAAGTAAAATGCCGGATTTTCGCGTGCTCTAAGGGTGTTCTAATTGCGTTTTGTAGAGGGACGAGAGACGGAGGGCCACGCACAACGAAGTCGAGCGACGGCGGCGCGATAAAATCAACAATTGGATAACGAAATTGGCCACTATAGTACCTGATAACGCGAACGGCGAGATCCGAGCCAACGGCCACTACGACGGGCAGTCGAAGGGCGGGATCCTGGCGAAAGCGTGCGATTACATCATGGATATGAAAGATATCGGCGAGAAATATCAGGTATTGTGTAGGGAACACGACGAGTTGCTTAGGAATTTCGAGTCTCGAAACGCCAAAGCGGTCGCTTTGGAGAGGGAGAACAAGGAGCTAAAAGAACTCTTGAAAAAGAATAATATACTTTACATACCGAACGTTAGTCGCGATATGTCTTAGCATGATGACCTATGCATGTTTTAATGATGTAGGGATTTAAAAAAAAGTCACTAAGATTCTATGTGCAATAAGCTTTAAAACAAAATGTTCATACGATTGCGTAGACATGGAAGTAATCTGATCTCGATACTTACCGATTAATATATTTAATACCGTTTTGATGAATGGTTGTTGGCAACTTCTTATTAAATTAAAAGAAGTGTACATTTAAAATTAGTGCTGTTGTGAAAATATTATTTTATTTGTTATAATTTGTATTGGAATTGATTGGTTATGATGCAGCACTAGTCTTAAGTTGTTGAATAAAAATTGCTTTAATGCGGAAATTGGTTTAAAACGTTTAGAAAAAAAAAGCGAAAGTTTTGGGTCACACGACATTTTTTTAATTCAATATGGTGGCCTTCCTTAGCTTTTTTATAATAAATAAGAATTACGTTGTATATTTTTTTATTGGTTTTTTATTTTTATTGTACATATATTCACCATTATAATATGGATTTAATTTTATAATCTCCTAGTTACTTTATACGATGTAAATAAATAAAAAAAACAATGGGGAACGAACATGTACAAAAATTACTTTAAAATTTGTATTTTTTTTTTCTTTTTTATGAACATTCGGGAAATTTACTGTTTAAAATAACAAAAAAATAGCAATATACGCTCATTACTAGTCAATAATAAACTAGCATAAGATGTTCACGTCATTCTCATTTAATTCGTTAAAATCATCGAACATTATAATATTCCCTCAAAGAAACGTTCAACAATAATAGGATACCCTGGTACAAACAAAATCAGCCAAAAACCAAATTTGAGGGATATATTACAATAAAAACTAAAATGTCAGTTACAACTATTTCAAATAATCCTACTACTCCTACATTAATATGAAAACAACGTCTCTGATTAATTCACTGAATCCGTAATACTTTGCCTCCAAGTCGCGTGGAAAGGTATCTTCAAAATCTTGACTCGAGTCGTTGGTAAGTTTTGCATCAAAAGTTTCTGCAAACTGGGCAACGCCAAAATTTCCACTTGCGGCGGCTCGAACGCCGGAGACACCTCACTGTTTTTATCCAATACGAGCGGCACGGGCTTCAAAACGGGTATGCAATCGCCGTTGCCCACTTGCACTTTGTCTTTCTTATCTTTGGGCTCTTCGCACTGATCCACAAACAGCTCGGTGACTCGCAGCAGCTCCAAAGTGACGCCCCAAACGAAATGCGACAGGGTCTTCTGGAGCCGCCGCACGCCCCCCAACACCATGTGATTGGTGGTGGCGCTTTGCGATATATAAGTAGGTATAATGAGGAGTTTCTTTATGTTATGACAGACGCCCAGGGCTTTGTCGAAGCCGCTTTTTATATCGAAATTAACGAGTTCTAACTGATCGAGTTTGTCCATTTGTTTGACTGCCTCGAGGATTTCGAACGTATGGCAATTGCCTTGGCCCTTCTCTAACCTCAACCGTTCCAACTTGGTCAGTTTGATTAAGATGGTGTCGCCGAAGTCCTTCGGAAAATCAGTGCATTCGCCTAAATCTAACGATTCCAAATTCGCCAGTTCCGCGATCACGTCCAAATTCATTTTGTCCAAATCCTTTATCGATGTCAGCGATAGATGCTTCAGACCTTTCATAAATTTCAGCGAATCTATGTTCGATGTAAGAGTCAATCCGCCGGTCGATTTCAAGCGTAACTCGTTGATGTCCTTCAACGATTTCAACGGTTCCAAATTCATGCTTTCGCATTTGATCGTCACCGCGTTGATCACCTCCAGCCGGGGATTCGACGCCGCCAAATTCTCCACCACCGACGCCGGACACCTGCACAGCTCGATCCGCCTTAGCGTCTCCACCTTGGCGATCGCCTTCGAGAATTCCGGCCAAATTTCGTCGCCGCCGTTCGGCAACAGCATCTTCCTCAAATCCAAGTGGACCGTGCCGTGCTTCCTCAGGCTGTTGGCCAGCCCGTCGAAGCTGTGCACCTGCGAATTCTTCATTCTCACCGTCTTCCACAGCATCGGATGGCCGGCGATGTCGCGCCACATCGTGCACACGCAACTGGCCCGCAACAGGTCCTGCACCTTCAGGTATTGGAACACGTACAGCAGCGTGTTGTAGCCGTACGAGAGGTTTTGAAGGTAGTTGAACATGAACTTGTTCTCGTCCTTGTCCTTTTCGTCGGAGCTCGTCGTGATGCTGCGTAGTTTGATTGTGCGTTTTTTCAATGTTGTGGTGGTCTTCGGGTGTCCTGCGGGTGTACTAACGCTTGAAGTATTGTTGACGACAGCCGAAGAGGGTGAAGATATAGAAGGTTTCTTCGCACCGAAGCTTCTGTAACAAAATTTAATGGGTTAAGTTTCTTATAGAGCTGTATATTTAAGCGATTGCTTAGGTAATACCGTTCTAGAACTACGAGGTGTTTTGTATAAACACTCGTTAGTTGTAAAACAGTATTTACCAGAATAATCATCATATAGTGTGTGTCAAATCGAAAATTTAACCTGCAAAAGAACGAATTTACCCTATAATGTTAAAGTAAAAATAAATAAAAATCAGTGTATTGGAATAGTTTACGCATTGATGGTAGAAAACAGGTATAATTTACGAATGAGAAGGGAAGGCAATCGGGATAGTTGGAAAAAAATCTGTAAAATTTATAACAAACTGAAAATTTAAAGTATCAACAAACCTTTTAAATACCATACCCACTTTAGCCGTTTACAATTTAATATAAAACAAAAAATAATAAAATATAACGAACAACAAATTTAATAAGGTTTGTAGTAACACTCACTCAGACATTGACGAGGAGCCACATTCCGTAACATCCATCAACGCTGACGCGGCGGCGTCTTTCTCATCGGAAAACCCTTCGGCGTCCGACGGCATCGCTTCCGGCGTTTGGGAATTTTCCGGTTTCGAGGGCGAATCGGGCTCGATTTTAATGCGAGAATCCGCCGAATCGGCCGAGTCCGCGTTTAGGAGGGCGTCGTCGGCGTCGCCGACGGCCGTCGCTGCCGCCGGCGGCGATATCGTCAGGAAATTGTGCTTGGGTATGACTAAAAACTTTCTACCGGCCAATATTTCGATGTACTGCGGCCGCGGGACGCCGGCCTGCGCCTCGCCCGTCGCCTGAATACTGTCAATGATTTTAGAATTGTGGGGCAACCAGGTGGTCAACGAGCCCACCAACGATTTCGTTTCGTCCGTTTGCGGCGGTCTCGGGGTTAGTTTGGGGGGCTCCGGAAGCGGAAGGGGATCGACCGGCGCCTCCGGATCGTCCGTCGACGGTTTCGGTATTCTTTGCAATTTAGGAAGGGCGTTAGATTGGTTGCCGGCCGACTTTAGGACATTTATGGGAGTCAAAGGTGGAAGAGGCAACGTTGCTTGGACGGGCGTTTGTTCTTGACCCTCCAAATGACAATTCTGCAGAATAACAAAAACATCATTACTTCTTCAGTTCGTTCGACTATTAACAAACTGATCATTAATTTTTTTTATAAACTCTCGACTCGCTTTTGTAACCCCGGGGAATTGACCCCTTTTGCACTAATTCAACGAAACAAAATATCCTAACTTATCCAATGACTAGCGGAAAAAGGGGCCCCTTCCCCGCCGGCGTTTATTAAAAAAAAAAAGGAATCGAGAGAACGAGAGCAATTTTCAATTCACAATGGCATTACCTTGCAGACATAGGGCAACAGCAAGAGCGCTGATGAAACGCCCACGCATTCGTGATGGTAGAGGCAGAGACAAATTCGACATTGCAGAGTCGGCACGACGCCGCGCACGCCCTTGCATCGTATCGAACAAGGTTGACAGGGCTTGTCGGGGCTACTAACATTGCCGCCCGTTTCGGTATCGTCGCAACTGCAAGATGGAATGTCACACGTGAACGTTTTTTTTTTTGGTCGGTCGGGATTTATCGGTACCGAGTTACAAATTAAGGATATGTCGGGGATTCGGGATGATTTTTTTTGCGGTTCGACTAATTAATTTCAGCGTAAAACTTCTTCCAATACAATGTTTCCGATTAGTTTTTTTTTTGTAGAAATTACCTAAATTACCAAATCGATACAAATCGGTATTGGAACGCAATGGAACTAACAAAACTAAAAACAATTCTCTACGAAAAATATCCATGCTGAAATTTAAACAAATCCTCTTACCTTAGTTTCCTGCCTTTTTTGCTGGAAAGCGTCTTAGCAGGAGGCTCGTCGACTTCCATTTGTTCTTCGGGAGTTTCGACCTTTTTCGTTTCTTTAACATCTTTTTTCGCGGGAGTCTTCATCTGGAATCAACAATTTACCATGCATTATTGAAATATCGCAAATTTGACAAGTAAAATATTAGCTTACCCTGATATTTTTGGCTGGTTTAATTTTGCTAGGACTAATAGCTGCCTCGGTGGTCTCGACTTTGGGACTAGCCAGCTTCGGACTCGACACTTTAGAACCGAAGTTCTTCGAGCTCGCGCAGGAGGGCATCTTGGGACTTTTAGGTGATGATACGGGGGTGTTCTTCAACGATCTATTCACCGCTTGCTTAATAAGGCTTTTGTCCGTATTCCCCACCTTGGCGTTCCTGATAATTTCCAACTCGGGATCGCCGATGCCGATTTCTTCTTTGGAAAACGAGAAATTATCGATAGTGAGGTCCTTGCCCGTTAAATGTTCCACCACCTCTCGCCTCGATCTAACTTTCTTGCCCGTCGGGGTAAAGTAATAAACGTCGCCCTGTCTGCCTTTGCTCTCGTCGTAGGTCAATCTCCATACGAGCTCCCGTTTCCAACCGAACTCGAACGGTTTTAGATATTTCGGATCCGAATGCCCCATGGATGTATCCGTCTCGTTTCCAGAATTCGTAGATTCCGTTCTTTCTAGTTTTTCCGGCGCTTTTTCCAGCGCCTTTTCTACTTTTTCCTGCGGTTTCTCCACTTTTTCCTGCGGTTTATCCACTTTTTCGATAACATTTCCATTTTCAACGGCTGTTAGTGAGGTTTTTTTACTGTGCGTAGGCGACAACAGAACATCGCTGTATCTTTTGTTTGGAATCCTCGCCCTTTTCCCTTTGCCTAAAATTTCTTTAGTTCCAATCGGGTACATATCGACGTTCATCTGGTCTGAAATTAAACGAATCGATTTAAATAAATGATTATAAACGAAAAGTAAATAGTTTACCATCATCTAATTTACTCGTATCGAGATCTATTTTCCTTTTCTTTCCCTTCAAAGCCTTCTCCTTGGAATCGTCCTCTTTCGTGATAGAATCGTCGGTTACATGATCTTTAATCGGATCGGTGCCCATCATAATAGATTCCACTTGTCTTTCGACACTTTCCATAATGGAATTGTGATCTTCGAGTTGTTTCGATTCAGTTTTTTGCTCTAAATGCGGCTCTGTAACTGGTTCAGGTTTGGATTCAGTGCTAGACTCATCTTTGGGTTTCTCTGTTGGTTCGATTTCGTCCGCTTTGCCATTACCGACGTTTTCCTTAGTAATTTCGGCTTCTTTATCGGCGCTTTCAGATCGATTTTTCTCCGGGGTTAATTTTGGCGCTATTTCAATTTGCGGTTCTGCTGGGGCGGCGGATTCGCCGGCGGCGTGAGCGGGCGATTTGGGCTTGCCGCGACCTCGTTTGCGCGTATCCATGCTTTATATCGCTATCGTACAAAGCAAAACACGTTATATTTTTGTAACGTTCGGCAAATCCATATACAGCTATTTTCGGTGATTCGTTCTAATTGCTCGCTGCTCGTTCACTACATCTTGCTGGGGCACACGCACCGAACTGGATATGTTTTCTAATAGCTGATTATCTAAAAATCACTATAAAATAAATTGAATTTAACTTGTGATGCACCTTTTCTGCGGGATACTTCTACAACAACGCTTATTTGACAAGCCAAGATGGTGGTCTTGGAACGCAATCGTAACGGTAATGTCACAAACGTCAATTTTGTCAATGAAAAAAACGCGGCAACTCTAGTTCTGTCATATTTTCATGGTGACCAACATAATAATTTTCTAAAACAATTTTTCTTTTCTTATTTGTTATTTGTTATTTTAATTTAATGGCGTTCTATTTGTTTCATATAGAAATACAAACACTCCTGAAAAAGGGCAATTACAGGAAATTGAGTTGACGAAAAATTCTGTTTCTTCTTTCTGTTTTAAAGCCTACAGTCGAAAAGGCTTTTCAGCCTCATTGAAAAAAAACTTGTTCAAACATATGACATTTGACATATGAAATTTGACATTTATAAAAAAACAAGAAAAGAAGACTTGTTGAAAATTCATTTATCAAGCCAAGAAACTAACAAATAATTATTATTACAATAATTTGTTACTAAAAATGGTAGTTTGTCCAGCCGAACACGGTGTTCAGGCGGATGTTATATTTCTCGTAGAAGGTACAGCTGTAAATGGAGCTTACATCAACGACATAAAAACAAACTACATTATACCTTGCCTAGAGTAAGTGCTTCTGTTATAAATCTTTTACTTGTAAAAACACGTATTTATTTTATGATGAATTAGAACGGATAATTGAAAATGGTTTGAGGTACTGTTCACCAGTGTAACCTTGCTGTTACATGTTACAATTCTTACACTACACCCCTGATTTCTACCGAGTACACAACCAATTGAATACCTCATTTATTGCATGTACTGACTGTGATAATTTTCAGATACTTCAGTCAGGGTAACATAGATGAGTCTATATACGTTCCGGAGAATTCCAATTCGCTTTACGGCATTGTTGTGTTCCAAGCCGCCGATTGTTTACCCCACCTAAGCACAGACACCTTCGGTCCTTTCATCAGCCCTTCGAAAGTATTATCCGCAATAGACAAATTAGAGTAAGTACTTTTTTTCGTTCAATCACATATCTAATCAAGGTACATTTTCAGTTTAGTAGGCGGTAAAGGCGAATCCCACTCGAATATAGCAGAAGGTTTGGCTACTTCGTTGCTTTGCTTTGAGGAATTGCAGCAGAAAAGAGATGTCAGCACGCCGGTACAAAAACATTGCATTCTCATATGCAACTCCCCTCCGTATTTGTTGCCCGTGTTGGAAACACAGGCGTATTCCGGAAAAACTGCCGAACAATTGGCGACAATTCTGCAAGAGGTATTTGTTTTATTTACATACAAAACGTTATTATACTTACGATTTTATTTTCAGAAAAGCATCAACTTTTCTATAATATCACCGAGAAAGATTCCTTCGTTGTATAAACTATTCGAAAAGGCCGGGGGCGATTTGACTTCATCACAAACGAAAAATTACGCCAAGGATCCCAGGCATTTAGTTCTATTGAAAGGATTTAGGTATGCAACATGGCATAAGCATTCAGACTGGATTTTTAGCATAAACATCATTTAGTCTTAAGGAAAGGCCGGTCAGTCCGTGTCCGGGCACTTCCACTTCGGGCCAAACGCAAATAACCAACACCGGTTTGCCTACGATGACATCCCTACCGAGTCCTTTGCCAGGCAACGACAGCCCCATATCGGGAACCAGCCAGCCTAATTCGAATATTTTAGTCAATACCACGGTGGGAGTCGGTGCGAATGTTGGACAAAACAACGTTTACAGACCTCCTGGTGGCCAAGGTGAACACTTCGTATTATTTATCACATACGCATTATTTATTGTTCAAATTACAGGTGTAGGTGTGGTAAATGTAGCCGGTGGACGCATGATAGGAAACAACCAAATGCCAATGATGCCGGTCAATTGTCCGGGCTACCATAACCCCGGTATTAACACCGCGCTATCTTTAATTTACTTAACTATCGAAGTAATTTGTGTTTAGGTCAAATGAACAGGTCGTCGCCACATTGGAATATGCCGCCTCCCGTACCGCAAGTAAGACCTTACATATCGCAAACCAATCAAGTTAATACAACGCAAGGTAGCGCCCTGATTGCCCAACTCACCCAACCGCCGTCCTCGATATCCGGAGCCGTTGTAAACCAATTCGGGTCCAGTACGTTTATGAATGAAGGGTTAATTCCCAGCCTTTGCATAAATATTTTGTGTTTTAGATTTACAAACTTCTATGGCTCAAAATCAACCTAAAATACAGACGTCGATGCCGCAGGCATCTCAAGCTAATCCTGTTGCTACGTCTCAAGCGCAGGTAGTATTAAAAGTACATTATGAAATGCTGGTGTTTAAACATCGATTTGAATGTAAAATTGATGTTTTAGATGTCCCAGGGCGTTCCGCAAGGAGTCCAAGGCGTCCAAGGCCAACCGCAATCTATTAGAGAAAGGCACACGATATGGCAAGGGCTTTTGGAATGGATCGAGAAGCCTAAAAATCCCAGCGATCAGCAAAAAATTACGAAACACGTACCCTGCCAGGTATCGGCGAATTCCAAAGACGGCGAACCCGAGTTGTAAGTGTTTGTTAAAAGTTAGTTTATTCGCTAAAATTGTTAATTGTATCGCAGAAAAGCCGACGGTTGGCCGCAGAAACTCATTATGCAGTTGATGCCGAAGCATCTGATCGGAAACATCGGCGGAGCTTATTTGAAAAATTCGAAATCCGTGTTGTTTCACCCGCAACCTTGCGATGCCCTGGAGTCTCTCACGAGAGTGATGAGTTCCGGATTTGTAAGTAAACGAACGTTAATAAATTGAATAAAATTTGAATTATATTTTAGGCCGGATGTGTACATTTTACGAGCGTCCCCCCATGCGATATAAAAGTCCTAATCCTGCTATACACAGCCGATAAAAAAGCCTACCTAGGCTTCATTCCCAACGATCAAGTAGCATTCGTCGATAGATTACGGAAAGTCATACAACAGCAAAAATCCCAGCAAATGAGACAGGTAATTCCGAAACGATAATTCATTTAAAATTATACTCAATGTTTCTGTATTAGCAAAACGGCCCGGGCGCTCCGAACATAGGCCAGCAAGTGGGCCAAGTTGGCAATCCCGCTCAAATGTCGGGGGCCAATCCTATAACGTCCCAAAACCAACAAAACATGTTGATATCCCCGACGAACACCCTTTCTATGGGTGGAGCCCAGATTACCCAAAACGTGAACAGCGCAGGCCAGCCTGTCCAAGGCATGGGCGGCATCATCAATCAAAACGTCGCCGCCGGCGGAATGAGACCCAACATCAGAATGCCCGGAATACAACAAGGTAATTTATTCATTCCCGAACATTCCAATAAAATGTGTATAACGTTTCTTCCAGGCCAAGGGGGACAACAGCAGATGCAGCAGAACATGATGCAGAACCAAGTGCAAAACTCGGCGCCGTTGGAGAACCAATTGGAGGTGGAACGTCGGCAGAATTTGGAAAAAATCAATCAATTGAAGCAAACGTTGGAGGCGGCGCAACAGCAGGAGAGACAGTACAAGAGCCAGTTGGAGAGGATCAGTCACATGAAAACGTCGCAATTGGAGCAGGCCTTGCAGGCCGCCCAGCAGACCGAGATGCATTATAAAATGCTCGAAAATGTAAGCTAATATGTGTTTGGTTGGAACATTTCGAGGTCGTGTATCAATAACTGTATCGAGAAGAGGCTGGTATAAGTTTATCGCTTCTTGATATCGTTATTAGATGTACGCGTCCTCGACAATGCGAAAATAATGTAATAAAACAACGGGTGTTTAGCAACAGAGGCAACAAATAGCGAATCAAGGGGCTCCCCAGTCGGCGACGGCGCAAAATCAACAGCGTCTCATGAGACCGGTGATGCCGAACAATCCGGGGCTCAGGCATTTGCTTCAACAGGTACATTTCTCGCACTATTTCATTTTTTTTTCTTCTAAATTTCTGCGCGTTTGTAGCAACCGCAATATCGTCAGTTGATCAATGTCCAGCAAATGGGTGGAAACGGGCCGAGGACGCAAATGGGCCAGCAAATGCCGAATCCTTCGGGTAATCAACAAAATACGTTCGACGAAGTCGGTAACTTCGATTTTATGTAAATCACGTTCGTAGTACGGTAAGGTTAGTTAATAATTTATTATCTACGATGAGGATTTTAGAGGCAAGCAGAACGACAACGGTTTTTTATGTGTTTAATGGTATTTTTTACCTATAAAATATAAGATTTTTCATTTCAAATACTGAAGTATATTTATATATAGGATGTTTTTTATATATTGTTCGCTTTATGGACACGTACGATCAAATATACATCATTTTAATTTATTATAAAATATTTAATATAAAACAAACATTATTCAGTATACAATGGAAAGGAGTTAATTTAAAAAATATACAAATTTAAAAACCTATTTAACAGTATTCTATTTATAATACACTTTTTAAAGCAGAATTATACTTACAATTAAAACAAAAAAAAAATAAGGCAATGTTAACGAAAACCTTCCTCGTAACATTCGTGGAATCGATAAAGCATATTTTATGTGTATCAAACATTTAAATCTCAGCATATAAAAAATAACGCACTATTTTAATTTCGCTTTAAATCGCCCAGCCGAAATCGGTACAATCTGCCTTTTTTTTACCTTATTAATCGCCATAATTTATTCTCTACGTAAATTATCGAGCCTGGCTTGTAGATCGGCGTCGGCATCGGACAGGCCTCCGCCTCCGGACGTGTTGCCCCCGCCGTTACTTCCACCGGCGACAGCTTGGGCAGCAGCGGGTTGCTTCTGTCCACTGGCCGGCAACGAACCGGCTGTTTGAGGTAGACCCGAAAGAGTATCTCCTAACTGTAGACCCAGCTCGTCTAATACTTGGTTCACGACAGCGTCACTGAAACATTACGTTTATACTAGATTAATTTTTTATGAAACGAGAAAATGTACCTTTCTTCCTCGTCGTCGTCGCCTTCCATGGCGTCATCGATGGCATCGTTCATGACTTCCTCCTTCATGTCCATGATCTCGGATTGTTTCTCGAACTCTTGCAGGATCCTTTGTATTTGAGGTAAATTGAGCTGCCTGTTCATGCTCTGCATGGCTTTGGTGACGCCTTTCATGGCCTGCGCCATGGCGTTTTGCGATCTGAGCGTTTGGATTTTTAACGAGACTGCTTGGATGTTGGCCTTCATCAGCATGAATTTCTTTACGTAGCGCCTCGTCCTGACCAAGTCCTTGGCCATTATCTTGACAGCATCCTGCGGGAATGATAATTGGGTGATTATAAAGGGGTTTGGGGCGTTTGTAGTACTTACCATTTGTCCTTCTTTGGCTAATTTCTTAATGTCGCTGATCACCTTCTTTTCTTGTTGTTCCATTTTTTGTTTTTCTCTGTCAAGATCCCTCATGGCTTTGTTCAGTGCCCTTTGGTTTTTTCGAAGCAATTCTTCGGGGGTAACTTTTTTACCGAACAGCCACTCCATTTTTAATTATTTGCGTTTCTTTTCAATGTAAAATAATTGATGTGACAGTTTTCGTAAAAATAAATATGATTCACGCTTGCTGTCAGTGTCATTTGGTTCTTGACAGCTGTCACGAGTCAATTTAATTTTGACAGGTTCGGGTAATTGGAGGAAGCGATCCTCCGATGTTGCCAGATGGTTAATAAAGTAGGCAACTACAGCACGGTGAATTGATGAATAGAGGTAAATTAAGTAAATATTAATTAATGTTTATTAATTTTTTACTGAACAATACCGTTTTTCGAATTCTAGCCAAATAAATTACAAAATTACATTAAAGTATTACTAAGTAGTAGCAGTAATTAGCATTTTTTTATAACGATTTATACAAATTTTAAACACATCCACGATTTCGACTTATTACAAGGCAGTATAAAATGTAACTATTTATAATTAATTTAATTTCCAATAAAAGACACACGATGACAAATCTTGGAATTGTGCTCAATTTTCGATTTATTTTAAGTCTTAGTTTATGTTAATATCTCCAAATGCTTGGTATATCTATTATACTAATGAAATAATTTTCGAAATGACCCAAAACTTTTATTTTCAATAATTATTTTTTGCTTTTGCTTAAACCGTATTGAAAATTCTAATCTACGAAATTAAATCCTAGAAATTCTAAGTATATCATATTAAAATTGTATTTACGGATAAATACTGACGTAATACTTTATTTTACAAATTAAAATAACGTGTTCCAACTAAATAAAATTATACATTATGATGTTTCGTGATTTTTTCTACTTAAAAGCAAATCAAAATTTTAATAAATCAAATAAATAAGATTTTATTTTACTATATCAACACCGTGTTTAGCTTGTTAATTTTATTTACAACCGAATAATATCAAAATGATTTTTTTTTCTTCATATAAGTCACTTTTGGGTACCGCAATTTCGAATTGTACAAACCCGTACAATCAAAATCCCTACGATTAGTTGTATTTAGACGAGAACAGCGCTTGTTAGATTTACAAATATGACGCCGCAGTAACCAAAATTGACGCAAACGCCGATTACAATGAAGGCACAAATGAAAGCATTCGAAATGTTCCCTAATTTGTGTTACAATAATTTAATAATCAGATCACTACCGAAACGGGTTTCTCTTGAGCGACGTTTGCCCATGAAGTGTTTTGCTAAAAGTAACACGTACAAACTAACATTAAGGCTGAGCAGCTTATGTGATATCGAGAGAACTAAAACTACGAGAGGGGAACTGTTGTATAATGCGTTAAAGAGAGACACGAATTGGTCGTTAGTTTTTTTTTAAAAATACTGAACTATTTAAAAATTAAGTTAGTCTTTACAGAAGTCTTGTTGTAAAAAGGTACTTTTTGTTTATTGTGTATAAGATCGCAGTGGATTTAATTCTTTTAAAAACTTAAGAGGAATATTATTGCACAATTTGTTAACGTGATCGCTTTCATAACATTTAAAAAGCTAAAATTATGTTTATTTTAATGTACAGAGTGCTGGACATGGGTCTACAAAAACCCAACTTTCGGCTAGACCAAAAATTGATAATTCTAATACAACACAAAATTCTATACGAATAAAATCATTCTTGGATTAATTCAATTTTCAGTTAAGCCAGAAATAATATTTACCGATATATTTGCCCAACCTTTAAACATAAATAAAATAAGATTTTAAGGATTATACAATTTTTAATACAAACTGTACAATTCGACATGCAATAGTGGCGGATTGATTAAAATTATACCCAATAAATAAACCGATGGGCCTACCACAGAATTTCAATTATTCAGAATTTTCCAATGTTTGGTACGTTATAATTTTTAAGCTCATCCACCACTTAATTTTATTAAAAGTCCTATTACATTATTATTTCATTTTAATAGTTTATAAATCTCCTTCAGTTTGTATACATCTGATTACAACCAGCTCCAGTTTAATTTCCATTTAAAAATCCAGTCACTTAATTTTAAAACCAATATCCGAAGAAATTAACGTTATTTTTTTAACGAAATTAAAATACGGCAACTTCCGATTTTACCTCTGTATATAAAATTTTCTACGTTCCTCCTAGGGACGAGTGCCAATCGTAGTAATGCAGTTTTAAATTATACTTTTTTTAGTGCTTAAAATAAACTTATTTAAAAAATAAAAATATTTTAGTCTTTCAACATAGCAGGTTCCTCTTTAATGCTGTCCTTAATTTTTTCTGCAGGGGCCGTCACCGAACAACCGGAGCTCGTCCCCAAAACTGTTTTCACGGTTCCTGCCGTATTGGTGTTGTCGTTCATTTTCCCTTCCTCAGACTTCTCGTTTTGGCCTTAAAACAATCCAATTAATTAGCACACAAGTCGATAACTTCATCGTTTAATTAACACTTACTCTGATTACCATAATACTGTCGGTTGGGTGTTTTGTTGGATGTATTCCTATGCTTTTGATTCGCTGAATTCTGCTGTACTTGGAAATTTACGGGTCTTTGAATAGGCGTTGGATACCTTTGCATCTATAAAAAAATTAAAACAGTATAAAAAAACTATTGGATTATAGAGGTTTTGCTGCGTACATTAGATCCGCCTACTCCTTGATACAAATTGTATTTCTGCTGGGCCGTAGGGCTGGACTGCGGCGGGGGATGCTTGCTATTCTGCCTCGATTTCGGCGAGGGAATCTGAGGACCTGCGAAAAACACTGCGATCAAACAACGAAACGTCGCCAACCCATCAATCAATATCATCATCGTACCGGTGTTGAAGACCGAAGAGAGCACCTCCTGGCTGCCGGGGCTCTTCAGCTGCTGCGGCCGGCCCGACTGGTCGCCCATGCCGACGCCCTTCATGTAGCTGGCCGGCAGGCCGGAGCGGAACTGCTGCGCCTGCGCGTTCAGCGCCGCCGCCACGATGGGCGTCGTCAGAAAGTGCGAGTTGAAGTTCTGCATGCCGGTGTTGGCGTGCGACTGGCTGTGGCTGTGCGTGCCGAACACGTTGCCCTGCATGCCGTAGCCGCCTTGGTGCTGTTGCATTTGGGATCCGATCGAAGAGCTCGCCTGTTGCTGGTAGAAGCCCGTCTGGCCGCCTAAAACACATTCATTATTTATGTAGGCGAGACAATCTTTATGGTATTAACATTGGCCCGTATTCAATGCCCCTTTTTTCAAGTTAAAAGATCCTTTAAACGTTACCACGTAATGTTAGAGAATGACTAAATAAGAGATGAATATAGGCCAGTATTTCTCAATGCTACAAATGAGTGAATGCGAAGAGTGTTCCCAAAATTAATGACTTACTCGATAGTGTTACTAAATTTTATTGAAGCCTGTTAATTAGTACATACCTCGCTATTACAGTATAAAATTAAGATTTTTACGTACATGCGAAAAATACACAAACTAAGAGTTAATTTCATATTATATTACTTTTCTATACTTCTGGTTTACAACACTTTGAATTTGTTATTCAATGAAATCAATTTACATTTTCCAATAATTGATAACGGAGAAAAACATACTCGCGGCTTAAATAAAGAAAATGAAATAAAAAAAAACTATAAAAATATTGTAATGATCTTGCTAGTTTTATTCAAAAACAACTAACTCTAATATATGGTAATAATTTTAAAAGTTTTAAAAAATAAAGTTAAAGCTCTTTTTTTACAAACGAAAACTAAATATTCGAGAAAAAACTATCAAGACCAATTTTCAACACATTCGACACTAGTTGTAAAATAAATGGATTACTTATATACATTCTACAAAAAAAAAACTACACTAAAAGACCAAAACAATTCATTTTGTATACAACTAACCAAACAGTCCATTACACATGTGTAAAAAAAGAAAACAAAACCAAAGCTCAGCATGTACCAAACGATTCGGTGAAAATTCTCGTAAATATTTCGTATGTTCTGTATGATTTTATTACTATCACGTGAATATTTCGTATCGATTTGTTTCAACACACCGAACCGTTTCGTACATACTATTCAATCTAGTACCTCCACGCAGTATGAAAATTTTTGGTACCTGTTGATCCTGAATAAAAGGACGACGACGGCTGCAGGCCGGGCACCACGTTATTTTGCGCCTGCGCGACGGGAGCGCGCTGCATAACTCCCGCACTCGACGCCAGATAATTCGCCTGGATCGTCGGATCGTAGGCCATAAACACCTGCTGGCCCTGCTGGGATTGCTGCTGATAGGCTTGTCCTACGCCTCCCGCCTTCGTCCCTATAAAAAAATATACGCAATTAATACAAAAATGGAGCGCATTCTAAGTAGGAGTATCTACAATCGAGCTCGCGCAGTAATCGAGAAATTATACAATAAATCACTCACCGATAGCGCTGATCGGCTGGCTGCTGGGCTTCACCGAAGCGGACATCAGGCTGTTGCTCGTCGAGCTGATCAACACCGTGGTGGGATTGTTCAATTGCTGGTTCTGGCCGAAGGGGCCGGCGGCGCTCATGCGGTAATTGCTGATGCTCGAATAGAGCTCGGGCGCCGACGGCGGCGGATGCGGAGGCGGCGGCGCGGCCGTCGGCAGAAAGACGCTCTGCGCCGAATAGGGGCTGTTGGCCGTCTGGCCGAGGCCGTGGTAGTTGGGGTATTGGGAGTACTGGGAGCGGCCCTGGCCGCCCAGCTGGTCGATTTGGAAGGCCCCGTACAGGCCGGCCGATTGGGCGGCCGCTTGAATTTGCTGCGTCGAATTGTACACGAGCGGGACGGTCGGGGGCGAGGGGATGGCGGATATGCCGTATTGGGTGCTTCCCGATAGATTGGCCTGAAAAAGTTGTGTTACAGAGATTGTGTAAATTAAAATTCGTATAGTATACCTGGTAGCCGATGTGTTGATTCGCTGTGTATTGAGGATTCATGCCTACATTGGGGCCCAAAACGGGCTGTATCGGCGGTGGCGACAGGGGGTTCCCCATAAGACCGGGGGCAACCATACCGGCGTGCGTCTGATGCGTCGAAGATAGTGCAGTCTGACCGCTACCAGATACCTGTTGCGTAGGTTTAACCTTGAATAAGTACAAATATTTCATTTTTTTTTTACGAAGAATGTTTCGCACAATTATTCGACGAAAGAAAAACAAAAAAAAAACCAAATCAATTTACCTTGCAAACGTTCGTCGTTGTGGACACGCTCTGGCTCGGCGACGGGCTGTACACCTCGTGATTGATATTATCGTCGGGCGCGTCTTTGCCCTGCGCGAACACGTTCGAATCCAACGTGGGACCGGCGAAACCGATTTGATTTTCGTCGTTCTCCTGCTCCGACGTTTCCCACACCTTTTTCACCGACGCGATCTTGTAATCCAAACTGTCCACGGTATTATTGCCGCCCGTCATCGCGTGGATCGGTTTCGGTGCGAAATTTTTCGAACTCTTATCGTCGGCGAATTGGAGATCGGCGGTGAAAAAGTCCAATTTCATGTCGGCCGAGTCCTCTTTGAACAGCTGCAGCGGCATGCTGTCGGCCTTGTCGCTTTTCGCTTGCAGCAGATCGTTCATGTTGGGCTTATTAAAACTAGAAATCACAGAATTGTCTGTAGAGCCATCGTCTAATTTTGAACGCGGCTTACTGTCCGGACGGCCGGCGTTTCGCGGACCCGGCGCCGATTTGAAGTTGGTATTTTCGAATATTATTGTATTTACAGGGGGCGTACTGCCGTCGAGCAGGCTTTTATCTTGAAGCGGACTCGTTTTTCCGATCATCTGTAAATACACAAATAAATTAAACTTTAAAAGATGCCCCACAATTTACTAATTTATAGTATTTAGAAAAGTTTGTGCAATGAAATTTTGAACTATTAAGATTAAGAAATCCACAAAATAATGCACAATAACTTATCCATTCTGTGGATAGGTGCTACAACTTTTTAAGAGCTTCTTTAAGTTTCAAAATTCCATAAATTTACCCAAATTTCTTCAGCAAGTAGCTGCTCGCTAATTATTGTTATATTCTACCATCTTATAGACCTCAACGAAAGGAACCTTGTATGCTCACTCAAGTTATAGCACCTCTCCACAGAATTCTAATGCAAGTTTACGCGATCCTTACCTTTTCATTGCCAGGACTGGTGACTCCTTGCGAAGGCGAATGAGCGGATTCCAAAGCCTTGACGGCCTCCATGGACGGTCCGAGCATACTGTCGTGCTCGACTTTCCTCAATTGCGGCCCCAACGGTTTGTCCCAAGCGCACGTCGACATGGTCGCCGGTATACCGTTATCTTTCATCACGTACACGTTCATATCGACGTCGCCGATCGGATGGTTCTGTTGTTGTTGCTGCTGTTGCTGTTGTTTCTGCAACTTTTGCTTGGCGAAACGCGGCGGCAATTTCGTCTGCCTCGGCCTGTCGAATTGGCTCTTCGATTGCGGCAACACCGGCGGCGGATTCACCGGCGTCGCCATCAACGACGGTATGTTCTGAATCTGTTGCTGCGTCAATTGCTGCGTGGCCTGGCTGATTTTCTTGCGATCGCGATCGTTCTTCGATTCGCCCTTGCCGAAGTCGCTCTTGTTGCCCTTCGACGATTTGTCCTCCAGCGATTTCTGGCGCTCTTTCACGTTCTTCTTGCTCTTCACCTCTTGGAATCCCTCGCTGTCGCCGTTCAGCGAGCCCTTCTCCTCCTTGCCCTCGCCGCTGTCGTTGTCGTCGTGGCTTTTCGCGTCCGCCGAATTTTCGCTCGACTTGTCCTCTCTCTTCAGCGAACCGCTGGAATTTTGCCGAACGTTATCGCCTCGATTGCCGTCGAATTTCTTGTCGCCGCCTGCCAATCGCGGCGTGTTGTTCCTGGAGCGATTCGAGTTGGACGAGGACCGGTTGTTTTGCGGCTTCGGCTGCAACTTTTTATCGCCCAAGCCGTCCGAACCTTTATCGTCCGGTTTCAATTTGTTCCGGCGACTGTCGGACTTGTTCCTGGATTTATCCTTGTTTTTATCGTCCATGTTGGAGCAAGGTTCGGACCGTTTGCCGATGATGCCGGCCGCGAGGGCTTGTTGGTTTTGCTTCGTTTTATCCTCGCCTGGCGCGTTACCGGAGCCATCGGAGGGCTTCTTGTCGCGCTCTTTGTCGTCGTGATGGCCCCCGAACGGGCTCTTCGTCGGCGGCGGTCCGTACCCGTCGATCCTCTTACCCAAACCGCCCATTCGAGTGTTCCGGAAATTCCCGCCTCTACCGTGCCTCGAAGGCTCCCCTCTAGGCACGTAATTATTGTCCTTCCTGTCGGGTTTTTCTTTTCTCTTGTCGTTGTAATTGTCCTGTTTGCCGTCGCGGTTCTTATCGTCTTTCAACGATTTCCTCGACGACTTCGGGCTGTTGGGCTCGTTCGAATCGCCTTTATCCTGTTTGTGATCGTCCAAAGAACCGTCGGAGTCGGTGGGGTATTCCCTGTTGCCCGATTTCTGGCCTCGGCTCGACGGTCTCTTCGGCCAGGAGACGGGCCGGTTGCGAGGCACGTGCGACTCGGAGCCGCCCCAGCCTTTCTTCTGATCGAACGACTTGTTGCGACTTTGATAGTCGTCGGATTTCTTCGAATGATCGGACGAGCTTTTGTCGTCGATTTTAGAACGATTCTCGTCCATCGAAGACGGTATGGAATCCGCCCAAGCGCTGCTGAAGTCCTTCTTTTCGTTATCCTTCTTCGATTCGGATTTAATGTCCACCGCTTGGCCTCGCTTCAGTTGAGTTAAATTGCGCTTCTCCGAACGTATATCGTCCGCTTCGATGCGATCTTTAGTGATGGGACCGGGAACGATGCGTCTTTCTTCCCTATCCTTCTTCTTTTCTTCGATATTCGTGTCGTACATCACCTCGGACCACGACGACATGTTGTAATCGAGGTCCCTGGAATGCTTCGACATGTGAGAATCGCGGCTATCGGGCCTCTGGGAACAGTCTCTCTCCTTTTCGTATTTCTCGGTGGATTTCTCCGTTCTTCTATCGTCCCAATCCTCGTTACCGAAGTGATATGTTTGATCGCCTTGTTTGACGTCTTGAGGAGCCTTGTCGCGCTGCCTCTTATCGTAATCCTCCCTTCTTTCGTAGTCATGATGTCTAATTTCGTCGGCGTGATAACGAGAATCTTGAGATTTCTGGCTCATCTCCTGCGAGTGAGTGTGATAACTCTCCTCCGAGCTCTGTCGCTTGTAATCTTTCCTGTCGAATTCGTCCTTCTCGGTTTCGAGGCCGTCTTGTTTGAGGTTCTTATGCAAGGGATGGAAGGAGTTCGATTGCGATTTGTTATTCGAATTCCAACGGTTATCGAACGAGTCCCTGTGGAATTGTTGCGGGTTGGAAATGTTGCTGTTGTTTCGTTGGTGGTGTTTGAGGAATCTCGGGGGCAGGTCGTTTTGGAATTGCCGCGAAAAATTGGGGCCGCTCATCTCGCGACCGTCCCTCTCCGAGGATTTCTGTTTTCTAGACGCGAAATTCTTCCCTTCGATTTGCGTTAGTTGCCTGAACGTGTTCCCTCCTTGATTAGGCGGTTGGTTCTTATCATCGGATTCGTTCGGTGTGTGAGATCTAACGTCCTTATCTTTATCCTTCTGGAAGTCCGGAAGCGGAATATCCACGTGATTAATCGGTTTGGGTGGTATGGAACAGGGATTTATAGTGCCCGATCCTTCTACGTTGTCCTTGTCCCTCTTGTGAATCTTCTCCTCGAGCTCCATTAGTTTCTTAGCCGCGGCTTGTTTCCTCTCTTCGTTGAACCGTTTCTCTTCCTCTTCCTTTCTTTGCTTCGCTCGTTGCACGGCGATTTCGACCTCTTTGTCTTGCTGCGAACGTCTCTGCGACCAAATGTCTTCGTCCTCCGAACACCTACCCCTAGGAGCGTTCGATCGGGAACCCCACTGGCGATTTTGGTTGTCAACGTTGTGACCGTCTCTGACGTCCCTTTGATCCCTACCAATTTGAGATCTCTTGGTTTCCTTCTTTTGAGTTTTTTCACCTTCGTCATCGCTAAAGGCCAATTTTTGACTACAAAAAAAAATGAGAATTAGTAATCGTATTTATTTGTTTTGATAAACAGCTTACTTGTAATCGATTTCATCGGATTCCGCCCAACCCATATCTTTGCTAATTTCATCCATTCGACTCAATTCTTCCTCTTTGATAATGGGCCTCGGCATATCTTCTATATCTCTATCGGCTAGTCGAGGCGGGCGATTATCAATCGGTCTATGACTGCGTCCGTTAACTGGAGCCGCCATGTTTTGTGAATTCTGAACACCAATACCGGGCCCTTGTTGGAAATTGCTACCTTTGTACATCTAAAATAGTAAGATCGCATAAAATTCGGAAAACGTTCCAACTAACACCGGTTTCACATACAAAAGAGGGCATGACGCCTCGAATTTGAGGCGGAAACGGCTGTTGCTGTTGCTGCTGCTGCTGCTGCTGTATTCCTACTTGAACCGGAAGCTGGGGAGGAGCACCCAAATGCGCCGCGCCGGGTTTCCCTTGAACCGCTCCCTCCCCGCCCGTGCCTGGAGGACCCAAGGACCTTTGACCACCTTGCGTCCAAGAACCTGCGATTAGAAAATGCAATTAACACGTCCAATTTGCATCGCTAAATAGGCGTAGCTCACCCTCTGTTTGAGGCCGAAGACTTAGCCCTGAAGGATATTGGGGAGCATCGGAACCAGTGCGTATGGGGCCTCCATCGCCAGAGGACAAGCTGGGGAATTCGTGTTGGAATTGTACACTCTGGTAGAGAGGAGGATGCGATTCTTGTCCACTCATTACTGAACTCCATAATTTGTCCGTAGGCGCAGGCTGCGCAGAAGAAGTCATCTGCGAAATATACAAACGAATGAATTGGCAATTCAACGAGATGTTCGTGAAGTATCATACCGGCTTGTGTGGATGCGGGGCTATTGCATTGGATGGCGGTAAGGCGGCTGATGCTTGATGCGAATTTAATTGCGGTTGTGGTCCTGCTTGATTCGGGGCACTTAACGGGGCGGAGTTCAGATCCTCTGGTTGGGCGGAATTCGTGTTGCCGCTGGGCGAAGGCGAACCCGCGTTGCTCGCGCCGTCCTGTTTGCCCCATCCCTGCGCTCCTGGCGGTACTAACGGTACTGCAGTGTCTGTTCCGCTGTGTTCTGATTTCAAAGATGGAAGATTGGCGGGGGCACGACGCGCGTTTGGAACCTTTCCGAGCGATTGCATACCATGTTTAATGTAAACTGAAGAACTTTTTTGCTGTTGTTTTTCTAGATTTTCACCCTGGAAATTAATACGAAGAGTGTTAGTGATATGAGCGAACGGTGACCAATGGAGAAAAAACTTACCCTGCTAACTCTGTACAAACTATTTATATCCAAAGACTGAAATTTTGGCTTTGTCTTCTCCCCCTTGGAGGCCTGCCCTGGCAAAGTAGACATGCTGTCTGCACGCAACCATTTAGATCAACAAGACCCAGTGAACGAACCTTTTTTCTAAAAATAATGCTTGAATTAGAAATAGACTGAATTAGATTTTCGCCAATTTGGAGAAATTGAAATCTAACGAAATGTTTCACAACGTACTTTGCTGGATGCAACATATCGCAAGAACGCGTGTGAAAATAAAATTTTGTAAAAAATTGAAAGCTTTGCTCGACTATTGTTAAACGAACTGCCTTGAATTTGTGCACTTAACGAATTGAAAATTTCGTGAACAAGATGGCAAAATTTAACACAGGAAGCTAACATTCCAAAGTGCGTCAGAAATTTTCGATTTCGTAAAGTTTTTGCTAAATAATTTCGTTAATTTCGAACTTTCATGCTTAAAATAAACTTAAACTAACTGAATAATGCACAAATAAACTACGTAAGCATTCGACTCCCAGACATCAAAGATCATTCTAGTAAACACTTATTTAAAAAAAAACTAATACATTAATCCAACGTTGTTAATATTCATCGATTGCATTCGATTCAATTGCACGTTCACTTCACAAAAGCAACATTTCACAATGAAATTTAACAAAAACTATCCGAAATAACGGTGCACTAATTCCATAGGATTCTAAACGAAAACATTTGTTATGAAAGCTAATTTCTTGATTTCGTAAATCAAAAATTGATGGGTACCTTGGTCCGTCCAAATGGGTTAACAACAAATAATAAGAAATTAATTCTTTTAATACGGTGATGGAAATGATAAACCCAGATACTTTTTTAATTTTACTATTCCTTGGGTCTTTATTCACAAGTCAAAATGGCGTTCGCCGACTACACAAATTCTAATCAATAAATAAAACGTCACAATGTCATTATGCGACTGCTGCCATCTACCAAGCATGAACTGAAGCTCTTGGGTCAGTCAAATTAAGAAATTGAGTTGTTTTACATAAAGTATAGATTATTACAATCAATTTATCAATAATATTAGTAATTAGAGTTGTTTAAGGGTTTTTAAAATGATATTCTTTTTATTTTGTATCATTTTATAAAATTAAAATTTTACTACTAGCGCCATCTATTATAACGCGCAAACGTTGATTTTAATTAGCGGAAAATTTAAAAATGCCCAAGAAAATCACACTATATCAATAAATTTATATCACACCAACTACAAATTAAAGCAAACGAACTAAAAGATACCACAATTGATGAATAATGAATCAAAATAAGTAACAAAAACTTTAAATAATTCAATTTTATGTAATGGCTGTTGTCTATCACCATTCCCAATTGTTTAATTTTAAAGATTTTAAATCTTTAACTTCAGTAAAACGTCTTTATTAACATAGATTTAACAAATTAATTGATGTAAATTGTATGTAAAATATAAGTCGATTTTTAATATTACATTCAAAATTGATATTGTAATACTGGTTGCCTATATTAAGTGTGAAGGAATTTACATCCTACCTATACCTGTTGCATAAACTGTTGCTCTTTTAACTTCGTCCAATGCTGTTCTTCAGCCATAGGCGTACTTTTAACAATTTCAGAAGGTTATCACACGAATTTTAGTTTTGATTGCAATTTTTCGCTTCTTTTATATTTTAGCGCTTTAGATTGTTCTTCTAAGTTGGGTAGAATTTATGTTTTATTGTATTTGGAACGTTTGTAAGATAAATTACTAAATTTAAGACACTGCATGTGGTTTTCTATTGCGGAATACGCCAATGTCGTGGACGACTTTCCAGCATTGAGAGAGTCGGTCGCGCTTGGTAGGGAGAAAACGGGAAAAATCAAGTCGGCGCTCTCGCTAGCCTTTTTACAACTACAACACTGTTGCCGGAAGCTCGCCTATTTTCCTGCATCCACGATGTACAAGAATTAAAACGGACAATAAAACACAGAAAACGTAAAAACGCAATTAAATTATTCTAGTTATCTCGTTATGCTATACACATAAAACATAACGATGCGTTAAACGCGTACTAGGCGCATGTTCGGCGACATAATATATTGAGAACACCCTTCTGGAAGTACACGTGGCAACAGCGCCGCCGTCCGGTTTCTGTCTCACGAAACGAAACAGCCGTGTTTCGTATTTTTCGTTTAGTTCGGTCGTACGTTCAACAAACTTACGTATTAACTTACGTACCTCGAAAAGTACCAAAAACCCCGCCGAGGTGAAACATACTTCGCGGAAAAATGTCGTTCGATTAGATGCTATTTAATTGAATTAGTGCGAAGAGCGCCGCGGAATATGCGTGCCCCAAAATCGAGTAGTACACGATATTAATTATGTAGTAATTTGTGCAGCTTTTTTTTGTTTTGTTTTGTGTGCTTACCTTACCTACCTACCTACCTACCTGTGCGTTGTGTGTGCATATCGTTTCCTCTACACCTGTCGCTCTGTTTAATTATGAAGACTGATGGGCCGTTGTTTTCGTCATCTATTGTTGCCTTTGCTGTTTTACAGGTATGTCGTTGGTGTTCAATTTATTTGAAATTTTATGCTTTTTTGTTGCTGTGACTGTTGGTCCTGATGTTTGCGTGTTGAAAGTTAGAAATTAACCTCTTTAAATCAAATTCCTGTAATTTGCCACTGAAATCACCTAGACCTCGATCTAGATGGTTGTTGCCAAAAAATGCCGTGGTATTTGATGACAGTAATGAGTGCAGTACCACAAAACACTTTTTCGTTTCTCTCTTGTCAATAAATGACAGGATAACAAAGATGTCAGAAGAAGAGGCCAGTATAAGGACTTCGTATCCGATCCGCGTATAAACATTTTAAAATTCGTGCAAACTATTTGATTTTCAATTCGCCAATGAAATCATCTAATCTAGATCTAGATTACTGCTGTCAAAAATGTCATGGCAATGAGCGCAGTACCACAAAACTCTCATTCATTTCTATCTTGTCAAAAAATGACAGGATAACAAAGATGTCAAATGAAGAGACCAGTAAGCAGAGTCGCGTCCATATAAAGTTTTTAAAATTAAGTAAAATTTAAAATTTTATAAGAATGTGTGTGAAATTAAAAGGTAGGTAATTAAGTGAACTGCCTTGAGGGAATTAGCCTAATCACTTTTGCGATTAGTGCAATTAAGTTATCTATTAGTAGTTAAAAATTGTGAGTCTATAGTTTTAGTTTAGGGATATTTTAAGTTGCAAAATTTGCATGTCCTTATTGTTTAATTCAATAGATTCGAGACGTAGAAAAGATATTTGCAAACCACTAATAACTTATGTAAGATTAGTAAAGATGTGCTAATAAACTAAGCAAATGCTTGTACTACACAAGTAAAAAAAATCACAAAGTCCCAACTCTCATTAGATCGTTAAATTCAATAATCTTTAATATATTTTTATCATCATGTTCACCAACAGTTTTTTAATTTTAGTCATTTTTAATTTTTCATATCAAAGAATGAGGATGAATTTCTAATTTCTGAAATTCTCAAGTGAGAATTTCTTATATTTTCGAGCGATATTTTTTTGGTTTTCGACAATTTGAAAATACGTTTTTTTAGCATTCGCAAAATCATTGATTTGCGGAGCGATTATTCAGTATTTCGAGCGTGCGAGGATTTTCTAATATTTCTTTATCGGCTGTTTTCACGTAAATCGTGCAACACATGTTTTCTTAATTGTTGTAATATAATGTTTATTTATTCCATGTAATGGTTCGGTTTCTCCTAATTATTGTTGAAATTTATTAACAATTTTATTTTTAAATTATTTAAAACTACTTACGTGATTTTTACAGAGCTATTAAATATGTTTTATTTTCTAAAAAAAATCATTGTGGATATATTAGAAAAATAAAATAAAAAATTAAATGCTCAAGTATTTTAAGAATTTATGAGAAAACAATAATACACCCATTATATTGAACGTTAATAAAATAGTCGAGTAACTACATCATTACACTTCCTATTTCATGAATGAATTGATACTTTTGTCCATATTCAAGCATACCTAATTACACAATCTAACCATAATAAATGATAATTTCAATGACATTTAAATTATAATTTTGAATGAAACTACTTATTGCTTCTCGATCGAATTCAACACCATCATTTTGAATGGCGTTTGAGGTCTTTCCATGTAGAAACGAGTGGTTCATTATAACGCAAAAAAGACCAATTATCGGCCGCAAGTTTACGTAATCCTTCGTAATGATTTATTTTACATTGATTAACATTTAACCATTGAAAATTAGAAAGCAATAAAACCATTAATTTATTCTCGTTGTGTCGCTTAACGGAAACGAATGCTCTCTTAATTATGCGCAAAAACCATTTCCATCTATATACAATTCGAGATCTGTTTGTAAGTGGATCTCGTTACTTTTTGTACACATTTAACACTCATTTGCTTACTAACCATCAAGCACATGTTTCATCCTGTTGAATTTCTTACAGCCCGATCGAAAGCTTCCTTAATTAAACTTTCGTGGGAAATATACGATAAATAAAGATAATAAAACCAACTTATAATCTCTGCGGTCAGTTAATTTATATTCCCCGCATATTAAAAATTTCCAGATTGGCAACAAAGGATTTGTATACGTATTTGCCGTGAATTTGCGGCCTTGTTCGGTGTGTGTCGAGATTTTTCGCCGACAAGAATGCATACCTGAGTAACCATTACATCCGGTTACCTGCTTAAGATTGAGATGTTGCAACCTTATCTTATTTTATCTTGCTTTTGTACTCCTCAAAATGTCTAGATTAATATTTAGAGATGTTTGTTTGCTAAAAGAACCTTCTCCAAAATCGCATTCTCTCCTAATTTGTGGCGTTAATAATTTAAAACTAATCTTTTCAACGCTTGATCGGATTAATTCGATTGCAATGCGGTAATTTTTTCGCAGTGTAGAAGCTCGAATCACACGCTCTAATTGTCGCTCTAATGTTGTAACAATGTCTTCGCCTCGAGTTATAAAATTTGTTATTATATGGAGCGATTATCGGCTCGTTTTAGCCGCACTTTTCTATGTTCCCGCGATCGTAATGCAATTAAAAAATAATAAAAGTGCTCATAAAAATAAGCGAATTAAAAGGAATTGTGTATTGATCCGATTAAATTAACCAAATCGCTTAGGGTTAAACGGACAAATGCGAATGCAATTAGATTAATCAACGTAAACAAGCACTTGGTGACACCAGCTAATGGAAATGAACTACCAATTAAATCGGGAAATACATTCAATTAAGTAATTACCGGGACTTAAAAATTAGAAGAAATATTGCATATTTTCAAGTTTGATTTAATTTTTAATACCTGGGAGCTTAAAACGGTTTTTTTTTTCAGATTTGTATAGGTAAATTGGGCGCGAAAATATTTCAGGTAGAAAAGGGGATTATTTGAGTTCATTGCAAATTTTGATGTACAATGAACAAATTTAGAAGAGTAGGATTGGAGTAGATTAGAGTAGTGGTAGACTAAGAGTAGACTAGGCGGTAGAGAAGGGGTAGAGTAGGGGTAGAGTAGGAATAGAGTAGAGTGGGGAAATATCAAAAGAACTACTTGTGGTTATTTTCCGGGGAATCTGCGCCCAATTTACCCGGTCAGAATAAAGGCCTTTCATTGTCTGCGCCGATTAATCTATAGAATTAATCATATTATTCTTTTTGCGCCCACAATTAACTAGGGTTTAGGAAATCCTGCCCTGGTCTTAGTACTTTCCATCCTTCCATTAAGATTCGATCCCGTGTGTCATTGCAGATATCCTTCTGCGCCGAGCTAGTCATCCACATTCCCGGCAACTTGGGCCAAGATGGCGTCGTCTACAGGCTGGATTATTTCCCGCCGATCGGCCACCCGTCCCCCAACACCACCATAGCGGCCAAAGACATTCGCGACGTGATCAAATTCTCGCAGGCCCTGCCCGGCACCAAGTACGACTTTTGGCTGTACTACTCCAACGCCACGCACAACATGCTCACTTGGACCGCCAATTTCACCACAGGTACGAAACCGATACGAAATACTCGGGCATTTCTTCCATTCCGACGGGGATTTTTCAGTACCTGATCCTCCGTCCGGTCTCTCGGTGGACGTGCGCAGCGGCAAAACGGCCGTCGTCTCCTGGGAGTCCCCCAAACAGGGCAGCTTCACCAGCTTCAAGCTGAAGATCGATCCGCTGGTGCACGTCTCCGAGCCCAAGCAGCAGGCCGTCATCGTCGAAGACGTCGACGCCAACACGTACGTCCTGAAGGACCTCGTGCCCGGCGCCACCTACCAAGTCCAGGCCTACACCGTCTTCGAGAACAAGGAGAGCGTCGCCTACACTTCGAGGAATTTCACCACCAGTGAGTCCTAGTTCCTATTATACTAATTGTACAGCTTAAACCGACGTTCATTCATTCGTTCTTCATCATTCATTCATTCATTCGTTCTCTCTTCATCATTCATTTATTCGTTCACTCTTCATCATTCATTCGTTCATTAGTTCTAGTGCTAGCGAGTTTTTAGTAAGATATTTTTAATGAATATATTGTCATTTAGACTGAAATAATTCCATTCATAGATGAGTCATTTTAATTGCTGAATTGTTTAGTATTATATTAGCGCTTACGTAAATCTAATAGCGATTTTAACACCTACGCCCGGCGAAATCGTGATTGGCAAACGTATTCGTAGCGCGAAAATTATTAAATTTAACAGCCTAAAAGTAATTATCACGTAATTGTTTGATTACAACGGTGTACATTTTTTTTATATTGTTTTGTTTTACACTTTCGTCGAATATTGACCTAATTTCGCCGGCACGAGAATCAAATTAGATTTACTGTCAGTCTCTTTATCGCCTATAAACTTTATTTCCGACCCTCGTACGCGAGATACGAGGGACGGTTGAATAATAGGGAGATGTAAATACGCTTGCGGACTTTTCACAGAGCCTAACACGCCGGGAAAGTTCATCGTTTGGTTCAGAAACGAGACCACCTTGCTGGTGCTGTGGCAGCCCCCTTATCCGGCGGCTATTTATTCGCACTACAAGGTATCCATCGACCCTCCCGACGCCAACGACAGCGTCCTCTACGTGGAGAAGGAGGGCGAACCGCCAGGTCCGGCGCAGGCGGCTTTCAAAGGTGACTTTTCGACTGGATGTAAAAGGTTTCTTGCTAGTTCTGAATGTTAAATATCATCTACAGGACTCATACCGGGAAGGGCTTACAACATATCGGTGCAAACGATGTCCGAAGACGAAATCTCCACGCCTACGACCGCCCAATACAGAACCGTGCCGCTCAAACCTCAAAAGATTTACTTCAACAGGGATAAGATAACGTCGCATTCGTTCGTCGTCCATTGGGATCCTCCCAGTGGAAGAAGGTGAGCCTTACACAATGAGAAGAACCTTCTTCGATCAATTTGTTATTAATTTGTAGCGAATTCGACAAGTACCAAATATCGCTGGGTACCGTTCGCAAGCCGCCGCCGGTGCCCAGATCCAAAGAGGACCCGACCTTCTGGGAGTTCAAAGACAACCTGGAACCGGGCAAAACCTACTCCGTGGTGGTGAAAACCGTGTCCGGCAAGGTGACCTCCTGGCCGGTCACTGGAGAAGTTACGTTGAGTAAGTAGTTACCTCGTTACGAAAGCCTCCGCGATTCCTGACGCTCCATTCTATCGCAGAACCGCTGGCGGTGAAGCACGTTCGCACCAAAACCGACGAAAAATCGGGCACCGTCACGATTTTCTGGTACCCGGATCCGGCCAGCACGCAGGACGGCTACGTGGTGTCGTACCACGAGGCCGAGAGCATCACCGGCGACAGCAACACCGTCGCCAGCAATCAATCCGAGATCGTCTTGGAAGCTCTGTTGCCCGGCAGGAATTACTCGGTGACCGTCCAAGCCGTCTCCAAAGACCAACAGGTAGTAAATCTACTCATCTACTAAATCTCTATAATAAAATAATTGTAAATAGTCCGTCGAGGAATCGATCTACGTGGTGACCAAACCCAGCGCTCCCATCATCGAAGATCTGCGGCCGACGATAGACGGCTTGAACATCAGCTGGAAATCGGACGTGAATTCGAAGCAGGACAAATACGAGGTGCATTGGATCAGGAACGACACGCACGAGAAGAACGTCAGGACGACGTTCGAATCGAAAATCCTGCTGAGCAAGCTCTATCCGGGCGCCGGGTACTTGGTGAAGGTGTTCGCCATATCGCACGGATTGAAGAGCGAACCGCACGAGTACTTTCAACCCGTTTGTAAGTATATCATATCGTATTTGGGGCCAGAGAGGTGTATAGGAAGATGGAACCGGATCCGCTGATTACGAATATAACCATCATTTTCGCCGGTTAAATGTATTTCGGCTCGCAATCGCGATTTATAAATGCTAATCGTCCGCCATTTTGGAAATTATCCAAGTTGACATATTGTTCTGTCATTTTTCGTTCTTTTGCGTGGATCCGAATTGTTCCGAACTTGCACTCGACGAACGCATCTCTTGCGGCCTTTTACTACGTCAGTTTCCAATACACTAGGGGATTGAAAGGGGGCTTCAATGCTCGAAGTGACATCCTATTGGAGAGTTTTATACTTTTTGAACTATTTGTGGCCAGAAAGGTGTATAGGAAGATGGAAACGGATCCTCTGATTACGAATAGAACCATCATTTTCCCCGGTTAAATTTATTCGGCTAGCAATCGCGATTTAAAAATTCTAATCGTCCGCCATTTTGAAAATTATCCAAGTTGACGTATTTGTTCTGTCATTTTTCGTTCTTTTGCGTCGATCCGAATTGTTCCGAACTTGCACTCGACGAACGCATCTCTTGCGGCCTTTTACTACGTCAGCGTCCAATACACTTAGGGGTTGAAAGGGGGCTTCGCCCCCTTTTCCGATCTTTTAGCGACTATCGCAAACTAATTACGTTGAATTTATCTGTTTTGTTGTGTAGTTCCCCGTCCTCCGAAGAACATGACCATCGAAAAGACCACGTCGAATTCGGTGCTGGTGCAATGGACGGCGCCGACGGATTCGCTGATATCCGAATACGCGATGCGCTACCGCACCGATTCCGACAGCCAATGGGTGAGGTTGCCGCCGGTGCAGAACACGGAAGCGGAAGTGGCCGACATGACGCCCGGCGAGAAGTACACCATACAAGTGAACACGGTCAGCTACGGCTTGGAGAGCAACGAGCCGCAACAGTTGAACCACACAGTCAGTGAGTATCCCCCTTTCGTGTGCCCAACGGATTCTCGAGGCTCGTAATCGTTTTCGGTTTTTCCAGGACCGAACGCCGTGACGAACGTCAATCCCATAGTGGATTCGAGCAACGTGACGCTGGAGTGGCCGAGGCCCGACGGGAGAGTGGAGGTGTATGTAGTGAAGTGGAGGGAATCCGGGAATCCCGTGCAGGTGAACAGGCGGAATATGAGCCAAAATCAGAACGCGACGGGGCCGGTGCGGGCGCTTATCGGCGATTTAACGCCGGGCGTCGAGTACACGTTCGACATTCAAGCCATATCTCACGATTTGAAAAGCGAAATAACCATATTGAAGACTCGAACTAGTAAGTTTTCGGTTACATGCAAGGTGTTCCATAATGGCGTGCTAATATTTAAGTGCGGTGAATCTTGGAGCCATTTTAAGGAAAAAAATTTCATATGAATGTATTTCCTAGAAAAAAAAGTCAGGTCAAGAAATCAAATTTCTAAATTGAATGAGGATTCCAAAATTAATTTTTATTTCAATATTAGGCAGTGGCGTACCATTTTTTTCTCCAAAAATATTCTATGTAAAACCGTACGGACGCCACTGCTGAGAATAATAAAATTATTTGTGCTTCAGAAAATACATATTGATTCATTGAAGACGTGTGCCAAATGTCATAAAGATATCTACAATAGTATCACAGTTATTACGAAAAATTATTTTTTTTCTTTAAACTTTAACACCCTATATCTCAAAAGTTAAGACATTTAGGACATTGGTTCATATGAAGTTTTTTCCTTAAAATCGGTCCAGGAATCACTTCCTTAAATATTAGCATGACATTGTGGAACACATTCTCCCGTATTCAGCGCCTCTGTTTAACTTTAGAGACTCTAAAGTCGCGTCTCGAGTCTCTAGTTACTCCATAACAACAATGTAAATCTGTCAAGTTAAAAACGCGACTTTAGAGCCACTCTAAAGTTAAACAGAGTCGCTGAATACGGCCCAATATTGCATAGCTCTCTTTGATTGAAAAATTTGAAATTTCCAGTGCCTCTAATCCAATCCGAACTGGTGGTGGTCAACAACCAACAATCGACCGACACCATAAGCATCCGGTACACTCCGACACCGACCAGCTCGTCCCGCTTCGACACCTACAAATTCTCCCTGTCCGATCCCACCGTACCGGACAAGGAGAAATCCGCCAACGATTCGGACAGATTCGTCACGTTCACCGGCCTCGTGCCCGGCCGGCTGTACAACATCACCGTCTGGACTCTATCCGAAGACGTCGCCAGCCAGCCCATACAGCGACAGGATCGACTGTGTAATTACGATCGTAGATACATCTATTTTTCTCGATTTTTAAGGAGGTAAGTTACAGATCCGGAACCGATATCGTCGATCAATTCCACCTACGTGTCGGACACCGAGGTGACGCTGACGTGGTCGTCGCCGCGCGGCGAGTACAACGCCTTCGAGGTGCAATACCTCACCACCGACAACTACTTCGTCCAGAACCTGACAACGCTCAACAGCATCATCGTGGGCGAGCTGCGGCCGCACCGCAACTACACGTTCACGGTGATCGTGCGCAGCGGCACCGAGTCGAGCGTGCTGCGCCGCTCGCTGCCCGTGTCGGCCGTGTTCGCGACGAAGGAGAGCGTGCCCGGCAAGGTGGAGAAATTCGAGCCGGTCGACGTGCAAGCGTCCGAGATCCGGTTCGAGTGGGCGCTGCCGGCGTCGGAGCAGAACGGCGTCATACGGCGGTTCACGATCACCTACGGGCTGGAGGGATCGGCGCACAAGCTGGTCAAGGACTTCGGGCCGAACGAGTTCCGCGGGAACATCAGGAACTTGGAGCCCGGCAAGACGTACGTGTTCGCCATACAGGCGGAGACGAGCGTCGGCTTCGGGCCGGAGACCGTGTGGAAGGAGAAGATGCAGATCATGCCGCCGGTCATACGGAGCGCGCACGTCGTACCGACGGAGGTGTGCAGGAGCGCCACCACCATACAGATTCGGTTCAGGCAGAATTATTTCAGCGACATCAACGGCCCGGTAGGATTTCGTTCGTTCCGCATTTACGAACGTTTCACAGTGTGGATTATTTTTTTTTCGGTTTGTTCTTCAGGTGACTTCGTACGCCATCATAGTGGCCGAGGACGATTCGAAGAACGCCTCGGGATTGGAGATGCCGAGCTGGCGCGACGTCCAAGCGTACTCGGTGTGGCCGCCGTACCAGGTCATCGAGCCCTACTATCCGTTCGTCAACAATTCGGTGGAGGATTTCACCATCGGCGGGGAATCGTGCGATATCAGACAAGTCGGTTACTGCAACGGGCCCCTGAAGTCGGGCGCCACCTACAAGGTGAAGATCAGGGCCTTTTCGGCGCCGGATAAATTCACCGATACCAGTTACAGCTTTCCCATACAAACAGGTTTGTCTTAAAAACGCTCTTTATTTGTGGAAATAATTTGTATACGTCCTGTATATTTTGGAGAATTGGCGAGAAACGAGCGGATTTTTTGAAGGGCAATCTGTAGTAGGTACTTAAAAATATCCACTGGTTGAATCGACTCTCTTATTTTTACAGTAATTAGTCTATTTATAAATCGAAAACTATTTTCGTTCTAAGTAGGATAAGCGAATCTGTTTTTTCGAAATTAGCATTACTTGTAATTAAACATCAACAATCGATAAGTACATCGGTGAATATTTCGTTTCGCTTGTACGTACGTATAAAATATTTTAAACTAATTACACTACTATATACAGTGTGTCCTTATAATACGCTTTTCCTCAGACCAAGACAACACGCCGATCGTGCTGGGAGTGGTGATACCGGTCGTGCTCATCGCCTCGTTGTTCCTCACCGTTATATTCATAAGAAAAAAACGGGCGGCGGGCAAGCGGAAAGCGACCGAAGCCCGATCGAACGACAACATGTCGCTGCCGGACCCGGTCATCGAGACCAGCAGGCCCGTCAGGATCGACAACTTCTCCAATCACTACAGGATCATGTCGGCCGATTCGGACTTCCGGTAAAGTTTCTATGCACTAAACTACTCCGGGTTTATATAGAGAGAATTGTAATTGTTCGTTGTTGCAGGTTCAGCGAGGAATTCGAAGAGCTGAAGCACGTGGGTCGCGATCAACCGTGCACGTTCGCCGATTTGCCGTGCAACCGGCCGAAGAACCGCTTCACCAACATCCTGCCCTACGATCATTCGCGGTTCAAGCTGCAACCGGTCGACGACGAAGAGGGTTCGGATTACATTAACGCCAATTACGTGCCGGTAAATCGCCCGTTTAATCGATCGATTTCACCGCAGTTTAATCGAATATTCGATTCCGCAGGGTTACAATTCGCCGAGGGAGTTCATAGTGACGCAAGGCCCTCTGCATTCGACCAGAGACGATTTCTGGAGGATGGTGTGGGAGTCGAATTCGAGGTCGATAGTGATGCTGACGCGGTGCGTGGAAAAGGGCAGGGAAAAGTGCGATCATTATTGGCCCTACGACACCATGCCCGTCTATTACGGCGATATTTCCGTTCAAATACTCAACGAGTCACGTTATCCCGATTGGAACGTGTCCGAATTTATGGTCTGCAGGGTAAGTCAAACATGGTATTGCAGAGTATACGGGATATTGTAGAGTTTACAGAGTATTGTAAGGCATGCAAAGCATTGTAGAATACACAGGGTATTGCAGGTTATACAAGCCGAGCTTCTTTACCATGTCCTTTTGTACCTTTTAGGGGGAGACCCAGAGGATCGTGAGGCACTTCCACTTCAGCACGTGGCCCGATTTCGGCGTGCCCAATCCCCCGCATACGCTTGTTAGGTTCGTTAGGGCGTTCAGGGAGAAAATACCGCCCGATCAGCGTCCCATCGTCGTGCATTGCAGGTGAGCAGAAGTGGGATAAGCGACTTTGACATTATTGTTTTTCAGACACAGTGATTAATACGTTGGAATTATTTTTTTTTAGCGCCGGTGTGGGTAGATCGGGCACGTTCATCTGCTTGGACAGGATCCTGCATCAGATCCTGAAGTGCGACTACGTCGATATCTTCGGTATCGTGTACGCGATGAGAAAGGAGAGAGTTTGGATGGTGCAGACGGAGCAGCAGTACATTTGCGTGCACCAATGCCTTCTGGCCGTGCTGGAAGGCATCGATTTGACGACGTCGCCGAGGGAAATACACGAGAATCAAGGATTCGAAGGTAAGATTTAGGTGGAAAATTTCGTTTGGTTCGTGTAAAAGTTAACTGAGTCTGATTTTTTTACTGTTGTTGAGATACAGGTCGTCTTGTAGCGAGTAGGAAATACTAGGGGAGTTCCTGTATAGGTTTTTTCATGAAAATATAGGGAACTTGTGAATTTTAAACATGATTTATGAGCAAAAATTAAGGGTAATATTTACCTCTTGCTATAAGATTCATCCTGTATATCAGAATCAAATCACTCTTCCCGACATCCCATGAGGTTAAGGTTCCTCTTTCATATATTTTTTTAACTGTACAAAGTATTATATCATAATAAACACGTCGAATATCGAACGATTTCGATAGAAGTACAACGACGTTTTAAAATTACCCTGCTTATCTGAAACTAATTAATTAAAAAAAATCACTGGATTTTTGCACTCTCAGACATGGTTTCTGTGTTTATAAGACGTTGTAAAAAGCTGCTATTCTGTGGTTCAGGCAAAGGTGTAGGTGGCGCCACTGTCGATTCTTCTGCTTACGCAACACGAGAGAAACTGAGGTAGATATAAACTGTCAAATGTGACGTGTGATTGCTTCAATTAGTATAGTTTTTTTTAGCGTTTGCGCAGTTTTTTTGGGAATTTTGCAACTCCTAAACCCTTAGGGAACTGACCCACAATAACAGCATGTTTTACTCCAATAACCTTATTAACAATAATTGTAATAAAAACATTAACAAAGTATGCATAATAACCAATTGGTTATTTAATAACAAATTAATCTAGTAACCAAATATAAAAACTACTTTCTTGTTAAATTACTAACCAAATATCAAATATTTATAGTATTCTATTACTGATAATTGATTTTTTTTCTTCGTTTAGATGATGAAGGAATCGCAGAATCAGGAATGTAACAATCTCTGAAAACGCAATAAGAAATTTTTTGTATTAATATTGAAATGAAATGACGATTTTATATGCTGATAGTTGATAGTTTTATAAATATGTATTTTATAATGAGAGTAAATTTTGTACTATTTATTAATTTTTTGTACTATAACTAAATTTACGTGACCAAATCGATATGTGTATGTTATTATGATGAATGTTCAAACGGTAGAGAATTTTTCTAATAACGTACATGAAATTTGCCTTTGAAAAGTATGAAATAATATTTTCCAATTTGTTAATTATTGGAAGATAAATTGTTAAATATGTACGTATAAACGTTAATTATTATTTATGGTCTTTCTAAAGAGAGTTTTAACTTCGTTACATACATTTTTACACTTTTACAAATATATTTTTTTTTCATTTATTAAAGGAAAAATCTTCCATAAAAAAGCTGTATTATACTGACTTTGGAAAGACTATACGTTACTTAATTCTTAAATATTCCTCTTAAACCATTTACAAAGAAAAGATTATTTCGCTTAAGATCAAACTGAGAATATGTGTGTAAGTTTACATTAGGAAACTGTGATAATTGCTATACATTATTAGATTTAAGAGAAAATACAATTTGTTTTTAATTTTTTCGCTTCCATTTTTTAAACTAACATATTTTTATTGTGTTCTATACTTAATTTTACATTTAAATAAATATTTTATCTAAACGAGTGGTTTAAATGTTCCCAATGTATCCCAGATACTTACTGTTGTTCCACCGATTTAATATTGCTCAAGAAATGACTTTTCCGCTGTACTTCCTTTAACCATTATTATAAATGATGGAGTTCCACCTCTGATGATATACCTGAATAAAAATATAATTCTCAAAATTTACAATAAATAAGATAATGTAACAATACTTACTCTTTACTTGTAAGCACCTCCTCAAGGATTGTATCATTTCTAACACATTGGATTTTCTTTTTGGGAGTCTCGAAATAGATCACTAGATTATTCGATCGGTATTTCTGTTCGTGATCCCAATCCGGCGTGGTTTCAAAAACGACTCCTAACAATTCCGAAAAACTAACCAGACATAAGTGAAAGTACGATAAAAAAAATACATTTACTTACCTTTGTTTCTCGTTGAACTCTTGTATATAGTCCATTATTTTGTATTCGGGATAGACGAAAACTACAGGCCAAACTAAATTGTTATTTTCATCTAAGTGCACCCTGTTGTGGACTAATTGCGGAAAATTGGGTTCGAGTTTGTCTAAAGAAAGATTACCTACAAATAATCAATTGATACAAACTATTTTAAGACTATAAATCGCTTGAAGAAAAATTCACCTTCAACGCGACAGCCCCTTTTGATAATCTCATTGATGAGGGTCTCTTCCTCCTTCTCTCTTTTCTTTGCTTCCAATTCCTTTTTTCTTTCATTTCTTCGCTTCGCCTTCTCTTCGTTAATGCATTTTTTCCTCAGATCCAATATCACTTTGTTATCCTGCGCTTTATCTAGGATAATATCGCAATATTCGACGGCTTTTTGGAAATTCTTCATTTCGTAACAGCACAATGCGGCTCGATTCAGGGCCTTGTCATAATCGGGCTTCAGTTTAAGTGCCGACTGGCAATCGAGAAGTGATGATCTGTAAGTGTTTCATCAAAGTGGATTTATAAAAATGTAGTTAGTAAATTACCTAAAATTTTTGAGGAAGAAATGTGCCGCTGCTCTGTTGTTCAGTAAAGTCGCGTTAATTTCTGTGTTTTTGCATTTAACTTTAATCCCTTCGGTGTAAGATAATATTGCTAGCCTGTAATTTTTGTATTTGAAATTGTAATTTCCATCCGCTTTGTAGTTATTGGCCAATTCTGTAAGACACGTTAGCAATTAATATACCGGCCTGTTTAGTCGATAAGATGAATCGTACCTTCAGGTTCGTTTTCGTCGGGGTCGTATTTTAGGTTTTGCAGCCCTTCGTATAAGGGATGAAGTTCATCGCCGGGTTTCGGGGGTTCTTTCATAAAAAACGGATGTTTCGCCATTTCCTACAAACGAGAGGGTATTTGAAATTGACGCGCGTCCGTCGTAAGAGCACTTACTTCTTCCCAACGATCCTCAGGCCAACCATCCTCGTATTTTCGCCTGGGCAACTTGTCTATGAATTCATCTAGTTCCTTGTCCAATTTAGCTGCAAGCTCCAATCTCTCTTCTTCTGTCCAATTCTTTTTCTCGTTCGTTTTTGCGTCCATTTGAATTTAATTTAAATCCTATTAATTAAAATTAAAAATAAGTATTTACTGGTTTTATAACCTCACTTGTCAACGTGATTCTACTGTACAACTAATGTCAAAAAATGATATTGACAGTTTAGTTGGCTTTTACTATTGCTAACTCCAGACAATTCTTCTTTTTTTTTTAAATGATAATAATTGTGCCTGAATACAACAAAACTAAAAGTCAGTTATTATGCTTTGAATTTTGAATATATTCTGAAAATTATTCTAAACTGGTGAAATTTGATTTTAGGTAATAATATACAATTCGCTGAAATGAAAGTCCAATTATAGAAAATATCTTTATTTTCTCTCAGAAGGCAATACGTCAGTAAAACAATTAATGACGATTTTGAACTAGAGAAAAAACAACGAAAATTTCGTACAGGGATAACTTTTATATAATCGGAAAATCTATATTTACAGAAAAATAAACAAATGGCTTATTTTGTAGAAACGTACCAAAAAACATTTGGACAGATGATAAGCATAACAAAAATTAGTAAAATCCTCCTAAACGAATTCAAAACTACAATAAAAATATATTGGCCGTTCTTTTCGTGATTTTGATATTTTTTCACATACATACATTTTTCCTATTGTACAAAACAAAGGTACAAATATAAGTAAATTGTATGCGAAATTCGGTACTATTCAGAGACATATTTTTTGGAATAGTTCTCGACTTAATCGGAAAAAAGGGCGCGTTCGAATAAACCTTATCAATTCGTCCGAACCGTGTCCTTCCACTTGTAACAACAAAAATAATAAATTAACAAGGTCGTAACAAATGACGTTTTCAATAAAATTATTTCGAAATAAATTTGCTAACTATAAAGTATATATACAAGAACATAAAAGCTGTGATAGAGACATCAAAAATCACTATGCACAAAATTATATTACCCTGGATTTGGAAACGGCAACATTCGATACAGACACGAAAATAATTCTTAAAAAAATCTGCAAGTATCAAGCCAACGCACAAAATTATCGATCAAACATGTAGAGTTAATTTGCTTTTCATAAACGCATAATTTCAGAAGAGTAGATTACAGGGTGTCTCAATACACGACCCTGCTGTGTCAGTTCTTACGCGGGACACCCTGTATAAGGTGAGCTAACAAAGCACCATTTTTCCAATACTACTCAAATAAGGAAATATTATTAGAGTTAAAAGGAAAATTAAGGTGATAGTTAACTCACCCTATAGATCGAACACTTACATTTTTTAAGATTGAAACGTTAAAAATTTATGCATATAATCCAATGCTCAGCATTTGAATATCAAATTTATTTCTGGTTCAATTTTTTAATTCAAGGCACTTCTAACATATCGAAACCGCGGTTTTAGTACTAACGATTAAACATCGACAAACTAATATTTTCAATTTAATAATTAACACGAACTCGAAGGCATTTCGAAAGAAATGTGGTATCCAAATGCTCGAGACAAACCATATGCGAATAAAACAAATTAGCTCAATTAGGTTTCTGTACACTTTACACAAAATTTTCAAAATCTACCAAAAAAGCGCAAATGAATCTATCATTAATAATATCACCTTTCAAGGTAACAAATAGCATATAGCTTTAAATAATTAGGAACGGTTTAAGACGTGTACAGAACCATTTTGAACTTAAAAAAACAGAAACAAATCAAAGGCCAAAATATCTTTACCACGCCTAACCGCGTATATTCGACATAATTTTATTCACCAAGTTACGAAAGTTAAATCTAACCGACGAAATAATAAGAGTAATCATTTTCATTTAAACGAAATTCAACTAAGATAATATAACTTTTTAATAATAATAATAACTTTGCGAACAAATTTTCGTCATTTCCGACCGAACATCAGATTAATTCATTCATCTAATATAATATTAAAAAAAAAGGACTAGCATTTTCAATCGATTATAACATAGGGCAAAATTTTTAAAATCTCCCCTTGATACGAGGGCGCGTCGACGACCTCATGCCATTCTCTAAAACATTTATCACTAACAGCCACCCCATCGTCTTCTGTCCGTTCCTCTTTAACACAACAATCCGAACCGCCCTCTGAGAAACTGTACCTGCTATAATTTTCACCCGTGAAGTTCTTCACATCTTTCGGTATACTTTCTATATTTACATTAGGCACTACGTTCGCGTAGAGACCGTCGTCGCGCATCTCCGGCCCCGGAGCGGACGGTCCCGCGCTAAAATTCCCGTTCACGTTCGGTATAAAAGTGTCATGTAACCTTTCCACGGCCTCGTCGCTCGCGCCCTCGCCCAAACGGTACTCATCGGATAGGAAACGCTTCGCCGCGCAGTCTTCGTCTTCTACAAACTCGAATTTGCCGATGGCCGCGTCCTCCTGATCGTCCAGGTAGCTCGAGAACTCCTTGCTCGGGATCTCCTCGAGGACGCACGTACACCGGACGCCCTCCTCCTCGCCCAACACCGATCTATCGACGGGCGGCAGCAGCGCCAAGGCGTCCTCCACGCTCAGGGCCGAAGCGACGTTCGAATTATCAGTCTCTTGGTTCTCCGCTTTAGCCTTCTTATCGACGTCCTCGTCGTCGGGCTCGTCGTCGTCGTCTTCGGCGTCCACGACGTTCACTTCGTCCTCCTCGCTCTTGATCGGCTCCTGCGCCAGCAGGCTCTTGTCGTTGATCACCGAGCCCGATTCGATCACTCGATCGTTCTTCTCCAATTTGAACGGTTTGTTCCGTTGGGAGTTCTTATTCCTGCTGGCGTTCGTGTTCAATTGCTGGTCGATCATCGAGACGCGCTCCGTCAGTTTAGCTGCTTTCTCGTTCAAATCCTCTTTGGGTTTGATCAGGGAATTCAACATGGTGGCGGAGTTCTTTTGCAAACTGGCCACCAACTCTTGCGTGGTTTTCACTTTGGAATTGCCCCTGGACACGGCCAGTTTGTTCGTGAACGAACTCTCGGCCTCGTCCAGCAGGTTCTTGTGGTTTTTCGAGCCTTTTTTCCGGCCGCGTTTCTTCGGCAATTGCTGGTCCAACGGCGGATCGTTCTTCTCCGGCATACTGGAATTCGAATCCGAATTAATAATAATCACATCGCGTTTTGGTTCCGTTTTAACTGTAGGTATCACATCTTTGAAACTCGAATTGGAATTGTCGGAGAAGTCCCACTCGGACATGGCCCCGTTCGATTTGGCGCGCTTCGCGTTGGGGCCGTCGGCCGGCGGCTCTTTCGCCTGGCGCTTCTTCGCCTTGATCTGGTTCAAGTTGACGTCCTCCTGGCCGGCGGCCGTCGCGTTCGACGACACCACGGCGGAGTGCTGCAGCGGCGGGCTCTGCTTCAGCTGGCCGTTGGACTCGGGCAGCACGGCGTTCCGCCATTTCTTCACCAGCTCCTTCGCCCGCTTCGATAGGGCGTCGTTGGTCGTTTTTCTCCTTAGCTCGTTTATGTATTTGCCCAATCTGGTGGTCTAAATCAAACGAATATTACATTAACCTTGTCTCTAATGCGAATTTGTTAGAAATTTATCGAGTTTATATGGGGGGTGTCCCAAATAAGACACGAGGTAGAACAGGGGGCGTATAGGGGAGCCTTACAAAGTACATTGCTGAGAAGTTATATGCCTTCAAAGTGGAGTTATAAATTAAACGTAATATCATCGTAAGACTCATACTTAATTGAAATAAATTTGGTATATGTTATAAGTGGAATAAGAGCATCGATTGAGAGGAGGGATCAATTTATGTATTTTAAAAGGTTCTTCATGGGTGATACTCCCAGATTTTTGTTACCTGATGGATGATTTGAAAAATTATTAGTTCATTTCATAGGTAATTTCATTTTAAAACTTTTTGATTGTTTTCACTTTTTACAATGCTTTGTCGTTTTGGTGAAAAATGCTAAAAAATAAAGTTACGTACACTATTAATGTCACTTAAAATCGTGGTAAATAAAAAAATTGGCTGTATTAAGTTTAAGTTAGGGTTAAACGATCTGTATCGGTTCTTATCCAGGACACCCTGTATATGGCAATCCGGAGATTGTTAAAAATGTTATATTTCAAGAGGAACTTTATAGGATACTAAAAAACATCTACATAAGCACAAGAGGATCACTAATTAAAAGAAAACGAAAGGACAAATCAGTGAAGAACATATCAAGAGATCATTGTGGATACTAACGGGTACAGGAGATGTAATTTCGATATTATTTATATTTAATCGAAGATTTCTATATCTTTATGCTTAAAGTTTAGTTAAAAGGTTCTAACAAGTTTTAATGAAATAGTTCTCATCTTAGAACAATTCTAAAACAGAAAATAACAGAATAGGAAATTGTATAAATATATCGTTCTGTGCTAATATCACAGATTCAATATCGTTCGAGCTATTCCGGAGAACACATCTGGATGTAATAATGGAAAAAGTACGAATCGCCTACCTTAATTGGTGCGTTTGTTCTAATGAAATTTTAATATACTTTCATGTGACTGAGCACGAAAATGGTAGATTAACAAAATGTCTCACCTCCAGTAATTCTTTGGTAATAGCCACTTTTTCCAATAGGGATATGATTTCGATAACTGCGGGCATATCGATGACCTTAAAAAAAACACGGTAAAATTAGTCGAGAACGTCCCGTTCGAGATGAACGAGCGGCAGGGAACACCCTGTGTGGTGGACTGTACTAGTGGCATCCTGACGTGTTTTACGCATAGATGAAACGTTGAAAATCGCACGAAATTACATTCGATAGTGATTAAAACCACGCGAATTCGTTGAATACGAGAAAAAAATCGTAAAATACTCAACGGTTAATGTCTTCTTATGTAAAACAAGCACTTTGACGTTGCGAAATTTCAACTCAAAAAAAAATCGGGTACACAATTTTATACCAAATAAATAACCCAAATAATAACGAAAAAGGTCCATAAATAAAATAAATTAGTTAGTACAAATACAATATGAATATTTATTAGACACTCTGGGGATAACGTATACAGTACAGTCCACCTGGTTTATGAATACCCTAATAGCGTACACGAATTATATCGAAAAAACCCTACAAATCGTCAATTTCCTTACATTATAATTACTGTCCAATGAACGTAGCAATCTCTGTGTTAATTCCGTTACGTTATTCTGCATTTAAAGTCGGTTTGTAGCGTGAAAACCGAATGTACGTTGATAGAACTTTTCGTAGCTGTTCTCCACAGCAATGGCGCACATACATTGCGCTTTGTGCAGTTCTCAGGTCCGCACTGTGAAACGAGAAACATGGAGCACCCGAAACGACTGAGAGGGGATCGGCCGAACGAATCCCGACGAGATGTGCGCGTGCTCCTGCGGTTCCGTGTCAACCGAAAACTTGGCGGACCGAAATTCCCCCAGATGACTCATCGATTTCCTCGACCTGCCGTTCTGATCGGTGTGGTTTTTGAGTTTGTGCGGCGGATTTAAAACTAACTTTTTCGCGATATTTATACTATGGATTTTTTTGTAACTTTTTGATACCCGATGGTTCGTTAGGCTTGTTGAAATCGACTGGAAATGCCGTGTTTACGGAGGAATATTTGTTGTCTATACTGTTAGAGATTTTGCGGGGTTCTGTTGGTATTACTGTTTCGATATTTTCGACTAATGGCGGCGGCAAATTCGAATACGTTGAATATCTAATTTCATTTTTGTAAATTAGTTAGTAAAACTCGTTTACACAAATATTTGGAAGAAAAATTATCGCATAAACTTTAGCCCTAATATATCAATTATTAATTATGTGGGATTTAATGGAAATGCAATTATAAATTAACATATTTTATTCAATATTAAAAAATAACGTATTTTTCTTATATTAATTATTCTTTGCTTCTTTTTTTGAGGCCCCGTTTTCCTTTCTTCTTGTCTATAATTTTCATTTTTTGTTTCTTCAATTGCATCGATTTTTTCCGCTGTTTCCTCCTTTCCATTTCGTTCATTTTATTAAAAACTTTACTCTTTTTTACGGTCTTTGTTGCCTGCTTCTTAAGGGCCCTTTTAATCTCCTTGCCTGAGGAGAAATTGACTACTTCCTTTTCAACTTTCGGTTTTTCAATTCGTTTAGGTTTTAATTCCATGCCGGGTAGTTCGTTCGAACTATCCTCTTCTTCCTCCGATTCTTCTTGTGCATCTTCGTTTTCATAGGTAGTTTGATTTTCACCTAACCAGTTGTTTTGTTTAGCTATTTCATTCTTCGATAACTCCACTACTTTTACAGTTACTTTTTCGTCTTCGTACTTTTCGCTTAGAAAGTCTTCTAATTCCGGTATCGGTCTGTGAGACACTAGTAATTTTTTATACGATTCCTTGGCCTCCGCTTTGATGCGTTTCCTTTCCTCCTTCAACGTGTTGAGGAATTTTTCCTTGGCTTCCTTCTTACGTTGCAATTTTCTTTTGTGGAAGCCCGTGAGGAATTCCTTTCTTTCCTTCTCGTCGAAGACTAAATGGATTTTGTTCTTCTTGCCAGATTGCTTCTTGGAGTCCTTCGGACGGGCCATGTTTTGATTTTAAAATTTGTTTAGGAAATATACGAAAGTTGAGTAAAGAGTAAATAAAACATTACATTCGCACATGTTTTTGACGTTTGACATTGACATAAGAAATAAACTAGTTGTTCTCTAAATAAAATGTTATGAAAAAAAAAAGAAGAAATTATTTTGACATTTGGATATTTTGTTGTATAAATATTTACATTTTAAATTTTATTTTAAATAAATGAGTGGTTATTAATTATGGTTGTACAGTAGATATAGTTTCAATGAGTAAAAGGAAAAATCCTGTTGGAGAAGAAAACCCCAATTACGATTTCTGCAATTTTTTACTAGGTGAATGTTTAGGTGTTACCTTAAATTGTTTATAAAACAACTCATTTTTTCATGCAGAATTAGCCGAATATGAGAAGAATGTTAGTAGAAACATGCACAAGTTCAGTGCGTATAAAAAAGCAGCTGCGACTTTGGGGGAGCACCCAACGAGAATTAAATCCGGAGATGAAGCCAGAAAGCTGAAAGGGATCGGGGACAAGATTTCAAAGAAAATAGACGAATTTTTAGCTACTGGAAAGCTAAAAAAATTAGAAAACGTTAGTAGTAAAGCCATTCGTTATTAAATGCTCTAAATTTACTTTATGCAGATACACAATGATCCAAAAACTGAAGCTATCAACATATTAACAAAAGTGACTGGTATAGGCCCAGCAAAGGCGCTAAGTTTATACAACCAAGGTTTCAGAACTATAGAAGAATTACAGAAAAATCCTGAAAGTTTAACGCATCATCAAAAAATTGGTTTGAAGTAAATTGTACCAACAATTTCACTTAAATAAAATAACCACTCATTTTTTTAAGGTACTATGAAGACTTCGAAAAGAAAATCCCCAGACAAGAAATCCAAGAAATCGAGAAAAGATTGAAAGACCTAATACAAAGCATCGATTCCCTATACAAAATAACAATATGCGGTAGTTACAGGTACATTTCAGTAGATGTACTTTTTAAATTAATCATTAGTAAACTTTCAGACGAGGAAAAAGTGAAAGTGGCGATGTTGATACGTTAATAACGCATCCAAATTGGACGAGCGATAAGGTCAACAAAAAGGACAAAAATCCAATGCTCAAAAAAATAATCAATGCTTTAACAGTAGCCGATTTGATCATAGATACTCTATCATTGGGAGAAACCAAATTCATGGTAAATAATTTTCTATTCTAATCGATAATAACTTAACGAGTTATTGGTTTTTGAAGGGAGCTTGTCGATTGGATTCCGAACACCCCGTTCGCAGGCTTGATATCAGATTAACTCCTTACGATCAATATTATTGTTCTATTTTGTATTTCACTGGATCTGATGTTTTTAACAAAACCATGAGGGCCCATGCTGTTGAACAAGGGTTTACGTTAAATGAATATACTTTGAGACCTTTAGGCAGCACCGGTAAATATTTCTTCGTTGCAAATCAAGCTGGAAAATTATTAATTATCGCGAATTGCAGGTGTTCCTGGTGAACCCATAGAAATAACCTCGGAGGAAGATATCTTCGACTTTATCGATTATCCTTATAAAAAACCAGAAGATCGTAACGCATAGTTTTATCGAACTTACCTCATTAAAATAAATGTTTATGATTTAGATAAAGTTAAAATAAAATTGTATTTTGTACTTTTTGCTTTATTTTAGATGAAATATTGACGCATATTCCAGTCATAGCAACAGAAAAAAAAGAATATATTTAATTTTTAACAAATCTAGCAAATAAAAAATTACCCGCAAATTGACGTAATTACAAAAAAAAATATATTAACCTATTCAATATGTAACATAAAAAAACATAAATTAACCAGGTAGCGATGTCAGTTCTTTTGTATATGTAATTAAATATGAGAAAAATTCAACAAATCAGACTTAAATAAAGTTTATAAAATAGCAATTTCTAAGTGAGCAGATGATTTATTTTGGTCTTTTAATTTTATAATATAATATATGTATATACCTACGATTTATATCAGATTACTATATTAGACAAATTTTGATAATGTATTTAAGGGTAGATTTATATCTAATTCACAATAAACATAATTGTACATCTATACCTTCATTAAGAGACTAAGATTATTTCAGCCTAATATGGAAGATAGAAAATTTTAATTATTATCATACAACTATGGAAATTTCGATATTACACTGTAACAAAATTCAGTCGAAAGTAAATAAAATTAAAAACAACATCAGTCGTAAAAACCAACAAAACCATGAACGTTTAACCCACAATTAAGCGTACTCTTCATTGGGCAACTGTATATAATTATTATCGTTTTCCTTCCTATTTTTCCTAATACCTACTATCACCGCTGACAACAATAAAATCACAGTTATAAGTGAACAAATCAAAATGATATTCCACTGGAACGTCAAAGGCCACACGAACGCCCACCTGATCCTGCACTCCATTTCCCATTGGTCCAACGACAGAGCGTACGGTTTCAGTTTATCCACGAAATCATCAAAATCGCAATCCACATCGCAATTTCGAACGTTAATCGGCCGAGGATCGGTCGAATTCTTATACAAAACGTTGACATAATGCTGTCCGTTCAATCTAGTCCTGAGTTCGAAGATGATGGTGCTCGCGTAAGGGGGACAGTGATATTGGAAGGCCCCTAACGTATTAAGTACATTGGCTATGGTGGTATCATGTCCGGATAACATCAGGAATTTCCGCGTCTCCGGCGCGTTGATAGTGTGATTTCTGAAGAACGTCACTATATGATTCATTAACAGACCCGTTTTCAGTCTAGCCAGATCTTTAGTGAATGTATCCATAGCGAAAGCCAGATTGGCCCAAGGTTCGAGCTTGCCGGGGTAGACTTTCGTAGCCCAATCGGGCAATGTATAATTAAAAAGCGTTTCTATAAAAAGGTTGTTGTGCAGGAATTGCAACGTCGGTATATCCGATATGACTTCGCCGGAATGTTTCGTCAGATACGCGTACAAATCGTGGTTTTGGTGGCTGATGTTCCTGAAATAGTCCGATTTCATTACCTGCTTGTAGAGCTTGTCGTATTTCGGACACGGTTTTTTCATGGCTAGTAGCGCGTCGGTTTTTTGAGGTTCAGTGTGTACGGGTATGGGTTCCCATTTGAGATCGGGGTTCCAAGTTTGGCTCGATGTGGGTGGGTACAACCCGGCTAGATTGGCTTCAGCAGACATTAGGGTTCTGTCTATGTCTGTGGAACGAACATAGATGTCGTTTTCTGAGTAAGTACTGGGTAGGAAGCCATCGTAACGAGATCTTAGCCATCTTCCTAATTGGTAGTGTCGTTGCTTTCCTTCCTATACAAAAAATTAATTATTTAGTTTGTTTGTTTGTTATTTATCATAATGGTTAATCCAAAACAGAGATTATTTATGTTTAGATTGTTGTATAAACAAACAATAAGAGTCAATAACTTTTAAACTATTACAATGTATGTTAATTACTGTTTGTCAATATTTAATCTGAGTTTGTATCATGATTAAATACGACTGTAATATTAAATGAATTGTATTACATACTTAATTATTCACAGTAATTTTTTTTTGTTTTAAATTGATAATTATTTTTCGTTTCAATATGATGAATATAATAAACCGGCAAACATAAAAAATTTAATGATAAGATAACACTATTGTACTTTGTAATTTTAATACTTGAATATTTTAATGAGTAAACACTAAATTATATATGAAAATATGCTTACGTTAGTTAGTTGTCCGAATCCAACGGGCCAGTAAGATTTATCCTTGTAGGGATCGTTTGGGTAAGGTTTTATAGGAGTCCTGTCCCCGTGTCTGAAAATCTATCAACCAATGTTGAACAAAAATCGATACGAAATCAAATTTTTAAATGAACTCACCACTATCACCGCTTCCAATTGATCGTCGGCGCCCTTAACAACTATGACTAGATTTAATAACAACCAGAAGTACAATTGTGCCATTTTGGACTAGCCTTTACACCGAAGTCACAGCCCTCTGCTCTAAATTAACCACTAGGTATCGACTGGTTCGTTTAAAACATTTCTAAATGATCGGATAATCGTTTACCTCGAAAACAACTCCGTTATTTCGGTCAATTACTACGCCATGTAACTTAATTTGGAAAAGCAGTCGATCACTTACTTTCAAAATCGAGCAACAAGCTGGTAAAAACATACAGAAAGTATTCGATACTTTGGCACAACGTTGACTGGCCTGCTCCGTTCGATAATCTTCTTCTTTTTTATTAAAGGCCTAGTCTGCTGTGTGTATTTGGTCACTTTTCGATACCACATGACGTAAATGGCAATAATGATATATGATGTTGACACATAAAAGCGGTCTCTGATTTAAAGTGTGGCCTGCTCGATTTTGCAATTTTTATAAAAATATACTTTTTTGTGATTACTTATTGCATTTTAAACGAGTTTATGGATGAAGCAACCAATGTTGAAAATTTCTTCAAATCTAACCACGTCCATTTATCATCACAGTGGCTGGAAGGCTGTATAAAATGGTGCAAGGAAGAGAACCTGCCTTCTAATTACACTTTAAGGGATCTCCAGTTGAAAATCTTCGAACAATGGTTACTACTAGATTTAAGAGACGTACAAGTGCCTTGTTTACCAACAAACCTCTCCACGTACAAAAAATACATTTTAAGTAACAGTTACATACTACAATTAATGCAAGTCGTAGATATATCGAAACCAAAGTATTGGCAATTGCAGAGGATTAGAAATGGTAATTATTAACCACAATACTCCATTATCTCGCAATCATTAGTACTGCATTTTAACAGGTGTTCCCGAAAACCTCGACCAAGACGTGGAGTCTTCGAAAAGGATGCTACAACTTACGTTAACAGACGGAGTACAGGAAATCGAAGCAATGGAATACAAACCTATAAAATGCCTCAGTATTAATCTGTCTCCCGGTGTAAAAATAAAACTAATAGGTCCCATACAAATTAGAAGAGGCATGGTAATGCTTGAAGAAAGGCACGTGCACATCGTGGGAGGCGAAGTAGACACTTTAAAAATCGAGAATTGCGCTGAAAATATCCTAGCGAAAAGCTTAAATCAGCCGTTGAATGAAAACCCCAAGGGTATCGAAGAGAATATTTTAATTGATAATAGTAATAACAATGAAACCAGTAAGTGGAATTAGACTCTGCTCTGCTCTGCTCTTTGTAAGCTGCTTTATTAAAATATTTAATTTTTTTCAGATATTAGTTCAACAATACCAAGAACGAATACTCAAAATACCAGTACCAATCGAACTAATAATTCTTCCTCTATCGTTAAAGAAAATATAACTAAACCGGTTAATATTGCGAATGAGTTTGATGATGACTTTTTTGATGACATCGATGAATTTACAGAAACAATACCAAGAACTAATACTCAAAATGCCAGTATCAATCGAACTAATAATTCTTCCTCTATCGTTAAGGAAAATATAACTAAACCCGTTAATATTGTGAATGAGTTTGATGATGACTTTTTTGAGGACATCGATGAATTAACAGAAATAGAAAATGAAATACAACAGTTAAGAAAACAAAATGTTCCAAATACCACACAAGTTTGTTCCAAAAGTCCGGAATTGTTCGACGACACTGATATCGATTTCGAGAGTATAGAAATACCAAATATACCTCCAAAACCTCCTAAAGAACAACCGATAACAAACTTATTTAATCAACCCAGAGATACTTTTAATAGCAATTCCTCGAATGCAAGAAATATTAATACTTCTACCGAATACTTCTCGAAGTCTAATATTAACGAGAATACAGATAATAGGTTTGGTATAAACTGTTTCCAATCTCCACAAATATACAACGAGAGGAGTAATGCAAATAAAGGAGTATCTACTATTGGCAATAATCATGTGTTGTGGAAAATTGATAGACTGTCGAAAACCATTCCGAGTATTACCGAAGACACAGTAAAAATAAAGGCTAAATTTAAGTCTGTAGTCGAAAAACTGAGTGTTACTGACGACGAATTCCGTCTAGTAATTGAAGTTGAAGATGACAGTGGGACATTAGTTGCGAAACTTCACAATGATGTCATCGTAGAACTGGCTGGAATCACTGCTGAGTCTTACAGCGAGAAAATAGCGACAAGCCAGGAGTTTCCACAGGAAATTATCCAGGTAATGGATGCGATTGAATTTATACTGAGCAGATTATAAAATGCATGATCTACAATCATTTTTGAATACTTTCAGGTATTGGATTCCCTCCGAAGTGGACTTACTTCTCTTGATAATATACTGCAGGTTTTGATTGTTAGAAAAACCGTTCCTGTTATAGTTAAAATTCTACGATTATAATATGCAATTAAGCAGGTATAAGAGTGGTATTGTATTTATTATTGTTATTGCATAGAGTGGCCATTGTCATTGGGATTTTTATTATATTAATTGGAATTTATAAACATTTGTTTGTTATTTCATGTGAACTCGCTTCTTTTTGATGATTTCACACAGCTTTCCAGATTGTTTCACAAATAAATGTATTGGTTACACTAAATCAAAGATAATATACTATAGAGTAGGTAGTCTGTGCACTAAATAGTCGATTAGACAAAGGCCAATCCAATAAGCCATGGAACCTGGCGGACTAGTATTAGTCATTTATTCAGCCAGTAATACAGATACTAATTTATCCACTTTCAGCATTTTTTATGTGTTATTAGTAAAGATACAAATGTTATTGTAAATTTGTGTAATATATATTTAATCAAATAAAGCAAGTTACAATAAAAAGAAGCAATCTGGGACGAACGTGGTCGGTCCTCACAAATTCTTGAAATCACAGAGTATAAATTAAAAATTATTAAAAAACTAGCATTAAAAACAAAGAAAAATATACAATGGGGGATAATTTCACTGAATCAGTACAATAATTATTTCACTTACATACTAATTATTAACGGAAAATTACATACCAGCCGAATCAAATTTTGAGAAAAATTCGTATTATTCGATACGTTATTTCCATTTTGCGAAGGAGTTTTTACAAAAAAAAAATACGATTAAAATTCCTATCGAGTTTTGTTGAATACTTCAAACCGATTGTAAGTGCATTAGAATAATATAAAAATAACTTAAAATTTGTCCGGCGATTTTATCTCAAACAAACATAGATAGGTACAAAATACCATGTAAAAAAATCGTGTAAACGTTTCCAAAAAAATTGTGTTTTTTTTTCTTTTCAATACTGGAATGCGTATACGGAATTACAAAATACAAATGCAAAATTTCGCTTTTATCAAAATATATACCTTTCAAATTGTATTCTAAAAAAGTATGTCGGCGCTACCGCCCGAACTGAACGGCTTTTCGGCCTCCCTCTGCTCGAACGCCTCCGTTCCCGACGATTCCTCCGGTTTGGATGAATTCAATGAATTGACGACGATTTGGGGCGCGACTTTCGTAACGCCCGGCTGGAACTTCTCAGTACTTTTCGGCTTGTAATTGGCCAAAGAAGAACCTGCAAAATCGCGCGCGTTTAGTACTCGCCGGGTGCTTTACTACTCAAAAATTAGGTAGGATTCTTACCGCTTAAATTAGGAACTGTGTGACCTAGTTGTACGGGGGACGTCATCGGGGAATCGTCTAACATCAGCGACGTTTCAGATGGGTATTCGAACACGTCCGGTTCCGAATCGACGAACGAAATTTTTAACTGAAACAAAAAGTATCATCAGAATGCTATTTTGGGTAATTTTTTTTACTGAAGTCAGGGGAAACAACATTTCGAATCAACCTCGTATTTTATCCTTAAAAAACTACAGGGGAAGTGTAAATAAACAGTAATGTAGAGTAATGAAGAGAGATATTTGAAAAATAACGCTTATTTTGTAACAATCGTTACAGCACCTCTATACCATAATTGATTCCCACCTCTAATAAACATCTGTCGTACGAAATGTCATTATTGTCAACTTTAATAGTTTTTGTTTATGTATCATCGAACGCATCTTAAAGTCCCACTAATTTGAATACAATGCAAAAAATAGTAATTTATCGTAGAGTAGGGTGTGGAATTCCGAATTCCTACGAATTCCTTTGAATTTTACAGATATCGGCGCGTTATACTCGCCGAAACAATAAAAAAGTTAAAGGAAATATTCAGCAAAATGTAGATAATTGATAAAGTGTTCGTGCTGAAGAAAGAGCGAATTTTTGATAAAAGTGTTATTGCAGTGATATTTTTTCTATCTTAAAGTGTCTCGCTTTAATGGAACTTTGATTTGCTGACCAACGTAGAAAGTAAACTTGCAATAATTTATGCGCAATTAATAAAAATATTCCTCGTATCTTGTGCTACATTCCGATGAATATTACGGTATTTAATGCAAGAAACGTAAATCAGAATCAATTTGTAATTATTTTCCTTATATTATCGGAACTACCGTATTTTAATAACTATTTTTTCGAACGATAACTAATCTAAAATTCATGACAGAATTTGTGTAAAAAACTCATAAAAAATTTCAGTTTACAATCGTACTTCACTTGCATCGACATTTTCTCATGCACATGGCCAAGGAAAAAGGATATTACGTTTCTTGTACACATTTCTTATTTCTTCGAAACTCTTGAGCTTCTTGATCGACTGCATTTCACAGGCGATTAAATTACAGTGTGAGACTGATGGCATATATTTCTCTTATCGTTTCCCTTTGAACTGAAGGCCTCTGAAGAAATCAATTCTAATTTCCTAAACAATTTTCGACCCAATTTTACAAAATGTTCGATGTAAAAGCCGTCCAATCCACCAGACCGAGTATAATGTATTTAACTGGTAAGCAGAAAAGAGAATTTTTACAGAAATTACCGTAATGATGACGAATATCGGCTCAACCGGGAAATAATTATTTTCTCGACATTAACCACTGGCTTTTGATTATATAAAAATTAATTGGTTTCTGTTAATATACTTTCTCCTGTATTTGTTCTCGTTAAACAAATCGAGCGATCCAAGGATTTGCCTAAGTAATTATAATACTCTTCTATTATAATAAGATTTATATTTAACTTTCATAGATTGCATTGCATATTTAAATTGGTGTAAATTGAATAATCAAAACATTTATATTCCTGATGTAAAATACACCTTGTATAAACAAACATTCCTTTATACACACACGCCGGACTTTATCAATAGAAATTGTTGTTTACTTGTATTCAGCCGTTAGAAATTAAATGCCTAACATTCCAATGTAACTTCATTAAAAATTGTACACATGTATTAATTACGAATTAGTAATGCAATAAAAGCTAGCAGCAAAATATTGCTTTTTATAAGAAAATTGTTAAAAAAAATACAATCATACATAATCGATTAGCCACAGATATTATTAAAATCAAGATGCTTCATCACGAAACGACCCAGTTCTCAAGTAGCCATTGCATTTGCATTGTTACTAGTTCTTTTCTTTTCCAAAAATAAACGAATTTTAGATGGAAAACGGACAGTGAAATTAACACCAACCTTGATTCAAGTTGAATATTGACACAGTTAATTATTATTACCCTACATTCCGGCCGGTAATGGAGGAAACCGCAAAACTGCCAAAGCGTTTCATTTGCATTTACCCAATAAGTTTATTAAGAAATTTAATAAATCCCATCGATGTTCAATTTAGACAATTATACGATTCATTGCATTCGAATTTGCACAATATTAATACACTTTTATTAATCATACAAAGCCCTTAGAAAACACAAAATGCGATCAGAAGGAATAAAATTTCGAATCAACCTCGTAATTTCTTTTTATAAAACTACGAGGGAAGTTATGTATTTTTATTACATACTTGCTTTATCTAGATTTATCAATACACTGTAGAGTAGGAGTAGAGTAGAATAAATTAAGATTAGAGTGGATTCAAAGTAGAGTAGATCAGGTTGGGAAACATGTCGAATCGCCCTCGTATTTTATTAGAAGTACGAGGGAGGTGTGATAAATTCGACGATCTAAAATTGATTCCGACGAATAAAAAAGAATCATTAGACCTAAATAATTCCATCTGCGACCGAAATGCGTTTCTTGGACCATAACGAACTACATGACACAAACCTAACTGTTTTTAGCTGTTTGAACAGTAGAACCATGGATGTGTTCGGTATAATTAACATCCTGCGAGGGGAATAAACTGAAACGTCGCAAACGAAACCAACGAGTTTTTTTTTGTGTACAGTAAATTATTTTATTAAAATTATTAGCATAAATACCATTAAGTTACGGTCGCCTGAAAAATTCATTACTTCTAATAACGAAATTTCGGCGTTTCTATACTTAATGTAAATTCGGAAAGGTCAGATAATGTTCAATAACCTCTCCTAGTTGTTATCGTTCGGTTTTTCTCCGCGGACACTCGACAATGACAAATGGAAAATTGCCATTAACATAACTATTAGATTACTGTTGGATATATTGAAACCGACGACACCGACTGTATTTAGTTAATCTAGTATCTAGCCTTGCCGTACGGTATCTTGTAAATTGATTAAAAGAAACTAACTGTTCCGGAGTCTCGACCAGTACCGGACCGGCTCGAATCCCACATACAAATTGTACCAAATTTGAGTACATATTTTCGAGTATTTTTCTGCCTATTGATAAACATCCTGCCACAAAAAAGACATTCCTATTGGAACTGTACATTCTCTAATCAAATACCTTCGGTTGGGCGGAAAAATATTTTGAGTATTCGATCGTACAAAATATTATTCGGCCGCGGCGAGTCACTATGTGATTCACATCGAAGTTGGGTGTAACTTATTTTCGGTTTACGTGGCACGGGGTCCCCCAATTTCCGTGAAAATCCGCAAAATAAATCGTTCGAACGGCTGTTGTAATGGCATTAGCGTCGAGATCGAATTACTAATGTTTTTGCGCTAATCTCGTGTGTTTGCTTTTAATATCGGTTTCGTTGAATCGTTGGCAGCGCGTCATCGCTCGGACAATTTCCATGTTTGTTTTGGTATGGGCGATTATTGCGTTTATCGACTTTATTTGTATGTCGATGACTTCATTTTGTCGAAAAGTATTTGTTTAATGTCGAATTTTCCTCTCCCAGAACGATAGCTATTCATAGGTATTATTTTAATACAGATAAAAGAATACAGTAGAGCAGAATAGAGTAAAGTACGGTAGAATAGAGAAGAGTAATCACCAGAGGAATATTGAAGAAATAACGCTTATTTGGTAACAGTCGTTACTGCACCTCTATACCAAAAAAATCTAATCCCACCTCTATTATACTTCTGTCATACGAAATGTCATTAATGTCAATTTTGATAATTTTCGTTATATTTTCGTTGTTTTATAATGTCGAATATTCCTTTCCTAGAACGATTGCTTGAAAATTAAGTGGGTACGTGGAAGTCGGTATAAGTAGACACTGCTATAATAAATTGTAATTCAATAGATGTCGAATGCCGACCGGTTTTCGTTTTTCATGCAATTATACGGACTTTTATGTTCTCGATCGTCCTTGACATCTACTGTGCGAAAATGTATTCTCGTCCTAGGCGTCTTGGATTTACTTCGAAAGCAACTTTTTATCGGTACATCGTTTTTTTGTATTATATCTAACAATACTTTTTTATCTATATCAGATAATCATAAAAATGATAAAAAATAATCTTACATTTGGTGGTTAATTATAGAAAAAAAGGAATCAAGTGGTCTGAAACAATTGTAATCGATGAGTTTTCGACTATTACAGGAGTTTTTCAGTAGAGTAGAATCAGAGGAGAATCAAAGTAGATTCAGAGTAGGTTCGGAGTACATGAGAGTAGATTCAGAGTAGATTCGGAATAGAGTAAGATTAGGACCAACTTATCTCAGCCAATCGGCGTCGCGATACATATAAATGGCGGTTGTGAGACGACAGTTCAAGCTGTCAAAACTTCAAAAATTATTTTTTGACATTTCGAGGAGGAAATGGAGAAATACATTAACCGAAGATACGTGAGGCATGATGTTTGCAACAAAATCATCGCTGATTTAAGTATATTTTTATATTTTGTATCTATTTTTAGTTTGAATTTAACCTTTCTTAATGCTAATTCTGTATAATTCGTACGCAAAAAACCGTGGTCCTTTACAACATCGCCTCCTAGCGGCCGTTTTAGGAACCCTGTTTTATCCTCAAATAACGGGACAATTTTTCGACCTATGTTTCCAGACCTTAGAAATATAAGACCGTGGATTAAAATTATAATCCCTTAGGCGCCCAATTGACATCCTTTCCAGTACCCAAATTAGTATCCACATTTGCTCTACATATTTATCCACGAACAAAAAAACTCTAGATGGATCAAACTCATATCCCGCATAAATCAACAATTAATATGCCCTACACGTGTTCGGAACGGACGCAATTAAATTGTCGACGCGAATATTACACTTGCTTTCTTCAAAATAAAACAAAGCCTTCAAATAGTTTGATTATTATTCACGATGGAGTATGATATGTTATACACCGTGCGTAATTACCGTCCATCGCCATAACGGAAATTGTTTTTCACTTAACGCATAGGCATCAGAATATCCAAACGGTCTTTGTTCTAATTCGCGTACCGAACGAGAAATAAATAAAAAAAAGTAAAACGATTAGCCGTGACCTAGTTGAGAATTCGCGGGGGGAATATGTACCTAAAATTGCATTAAATAATATAAATTACCGCAATGATATTAATTCGAAAGCCACAGCGATATAATCGCCTCGCTTTTCCTCCCGGTCTTTGTTGATTTTCTTAATAATCAGATCCGAAGCATTACTTTCACTTAACTAGAACTTTCAAGGATGAGCAACTAACCAACAATCAGCAGGTAGCATTTCAATGTATTATTTATCACACGATGATTCTTCTAGTTTTACGAAAATTTATGCAATTTTCTTCTCGATACACAAGAAAATAAACCCAATTATAACAGCGTTATTTTTTGGTAATACAATGTCTATAATAAAACATTGTTTTCCAAACCCATTGATTTATTTAACAAAATTAAAAACATGAGTTTCTTAGTGAGTAAATTGTGGAAGTTGTAAATTATATTAGAGCAGGAATAAAGTAGGAATAGAATAGGAGTAGAGTAGACTAGTGTAGAGCTGTGTAGAGTCATGTAGAGTAGTTTAATGAATGAACGAATGAACGAATGAATGAATGAATTCCCTGAGGCTTTACTATGCATAGTGACTTACCTTAGACCGGACAGATTTGTTGTGTAGACTAGATTTTCCGTCGATAATGACGTTATCGTTAATGAAATCAACGTCGCACGGACTCGGCGGACCCTCCAAGGACCGAAGGATCTCCTCGTCTTCATCAGTGAAGGAATCCAAGATGGTTGCTCCTGGTATTAATATAATACCACCTTCACCGCTCTGTAAAAAAGCAAACAGAAAATACCGGTTAATTTTTCGTCCGGAACAACGTGTAATAGTTAACAACACGAAAATGTTTATTATTCATTTTCCATGGGAAAAGCCGGGCGGGAACAATAAAAGTTCGAAGAACCAGACGAATGAACAAACAGCATGTGGAGATGACGTCCTTGAAGGATAATATACGTTTGTTCATTAGCAGGTGCAAGGCGAGTTCGACGAGCAGGATGTCGATTAATTGGAAGGAAAGCGGTTCCCAAAAAGGGTCGAATAACGCTGGTGGATAATGATTTGTACGATTTTGTGATCTACATTTCCAAATAAACAATTAGTGTCATCGATAGAATGGTTTCGTCGTGTGCAGGACGATTTTCGATTAAATAGAAATTAGGGTCATTCGACAATTACGAAACGCCGCATTATTTTCATTATTACCGGCCCACATAAAAATCATGTGGGTTATTAGTGTTACATTCCAAAAGATGAAATAACTATGCGTGTACGATAGGAATTTGGTGAATATATTTTGTAATTTTTGATACCGAAGAATTACATATTTTTTCTACAGGGTGTTTCAAACACAATTCACATACAGTGTGTGCAGGGTGGAGTTGACGAGTGGAAAATAAACATCATTTAATTTCAACGAAGAAAAGTTGTTCATTATAAAAGTCGAAAAAATAGTTTGCTATAGGTACTTATTGTAAACTGGGTAAGTACTACAAAATTGCATAGTCGTGATTAATCGAGTCCTTGGCATTTTGCGAATTCCAGCGGATTAAATGGAAGAAAAAAACGGTTTTTTGGTGGGTACTCTTCTCTCGCGCGGGTACATAATTAGTTCCGTACCGAAGTACCGCTATGGCTTCGTTTCGATCCGATTTAATGACATCAAGACATCAAAGTGAGGCATAGAAGTGAACTGTTTATTTAGTTGAAACGACGCGTGAGAGCGTTTAATTCTAACTAAAAAAATAATATCTCGAGATTTTCGTCTGTTATCTTCATATTTCTAATTACATATAGTTTCGTGTATTAATGTTTTGAGTGATCGAAAATGAACCGATCTACGAAAAGGAATGTTTGTTTAATAAATGAATAATAAAATTTTTAACAATATGTAATAAATAAAGCGTTTTGATTCAGTGTTATTTAAGTGCATTGTTTTATTTGTTTTACTGCAAAAGTCTTGTTTGTTCCTCGATTAAGCGTGACAAACTTTACAAATTTATTACGCAATTTGTATATTCAAGCCAAATAGTGCACTTTATGAAAAAATTATGTCGATAAGATAACTACAATTGCAAAAAAAGGTAGATTATTTGCATTATCAAAACCCTTTTAATGATTCCATTTTTCAGTATATTTCATATAAACACGACGTACATGTATGAGGTATTGTTTGCTATATTATAACGACCTTTATTAATATAAAATAATAGTCGATATTAAACTAAATTAGGTCTCGATTTTCTATTATTTCGCCATATTTTCAAGCAAATTCGAAACCTCGAAACCACCTGTACATGTAACTTTCTATTGTTTTGTTTCCAGTGTTTTATGATGTCCTGCGTTCTGTTCCATTAAATCAAACGTTTCACTTTCATCGGGATATTTCGCTTTAATAACTCCAACTTATCTGCTCGTATTGTTACAACGTTCCTTCTCGATATACCGAAGCCTCAATTCATTGACGAATTATCGAAGAACAGCGATCGTGAAAGCGAGAACTTCGACCTTTCCTAAAGAAGCTCATTAAATATTTATTTTTCTCACGTACGCCGGCTACTGTTTACGCAGAAACGAAACAACGGATGAAACGAAGGAAACATTCCCTGTATGTACGGCATCGGTACTCGCCGATGTGCGTGCCGATTTTAATGGGTATTGTTCGAAGAACAAACCAATGCGGTTTGTTATTGGAAACCTCCACCGGAGCACGCCTTTTCGCCCATGCGAAATATGCATACGCTCGTCTAAAAATCATATTCCACGATTGCTCTACTATACTATACCCAAAAACTGTCAAAATTGACATTAATGACATTTCGTATGACAGAAGTTTAATAGAGGTGGGAATAACTTTTTTGGTATAGAGGCGCTGTAACGACTGTTACAAAATAAGCGTTATTTTTCCTATAATAACTTCTATTCCACAAATCTACTCGAAATTCATTTAATATCCCTTTTGAAAATGTTCAGGTACTCATTTGGTATTGTTATTTTCCGGTGCAACGTCTTCATCTGCGTCTTACGACAATTACGTAAATACAAGATAAATTTAACTGGAAATGCACCCGTAGGAATGCATAAACATTTACCGGATGTTTATCCGCATAGCCGGCTAAAAATACAGCGCGTTCGTCAACCACTGGCGCCTTCGGCAGTACCCTTTTCTTCGCTTTGGATCTTTGACCTTTCGTTACCCTTGGGAGCGAACAGCTGGCGAATTTCAACAGGTAAAAAGGCCGGACCAGAGGACCGAAGTAGGTATAAATTCGAACGATGAATATTTCCACGTAAATCTCTCGAGACGCCCAGTTAAATTCGCGTCGTTTACGACGTACTCGCGTCATTGTAAAAGGTCTTTTGTATACCTTAATCTGCGTTTAATAATAGACGCAGTAAGTAACGTGGGCTTGTCATGTTCCATTCTTGAAAAAGAAAGTTGCAGCAAACCATGCACTTTTCGGAATGATATAAAACGTACTTATTTTACGATAGACTTTCACGATAGACGACACAGTAGGTGAGTACCTGAGGTGGATAGTTTTGTACAAAATCCTACAATTTCCTCGTACTTGATAAATACTAGGAGGATACTATATTGGAAAGGGCGATGAAAAAAAGTCGATAGGTGCCAAGTCTGGTAATCATCGGGCAACCGGTGAAAATTTTGCTCGGTTTTATTGCAGGAATTTAAAAGAATCTTATTCAAATGTTTGTAATATTATATAGGTTATTTGCTCGGCAAGAAGGAAAAGTGAAAAATCGAAATTGGCGGTAATAACGTAGGAAAGCAAGATGGCCGGTCGAGTAGATACGAGGTCGAATTAATACACCGGAACAGACGAATGAAATTCGAAATAATACAATAACGCAATAATCCGTTATCAGATCCGCGTATTGTACATTTTTTTGCGCAATTTTTTTTTGAGAAATTCCAATTTCTACGAATCCCGGACTACTGCTGATTTTTATTAGTAATTCGAGTTGCGCTATTGGTCGGTCCCGGAAAACGTGTTGAAATCGGTTTTAAACAGACTCACAACTTTGCATTTTTTTATGTGACAAAACAAAAGGTACTTAAAACAATTGCCTCCTAAAAATTTAAAGAATAAATAAAACCAATTTAAGTATATCTTGATGAGATAAAGTACATAAAAACATGTTTTATCAACAATCACAATTTTCACCGGAAACTTTGGTAGAAATGTTCAGTCGACAATGCGATGATAAAATTAACAATTTACTGAAATTAATAGCAAATAATTTTACCCTTCCACAATATAACAGTAATTAAGCGACTTATCTTAAAAAGCCTCTTTAACATGCCCATTTACATTTCCCACAGCAATTACACCAAGAACGCTTATAAATTTCAAACAATGACATTATTTTCTCGGGCGCATTTCCATAATTATCCAGCACATTCGTATCAACCCGTTCGATTAACGCACGTGGAAAATGCTAGAAAAAAATCTAAACAGAATTAAAACAAATCGAAGCAGGTGGGCATTGTTTGCTAATTCGCCATTTGCGCGAAAATTTATTCGCCCATTAAAATCAGACCCGAGGAAAGCAAAACCGTATTTTAAAATAAATTTCAAACAAACCACCACTTAGATAGAAATCTCGGTATTGTAATTTCGTCAGCGCATTGTGCTCGTGCTAATTTGAATGCAGAAAGTCTGGAAGACCTTGAAATGCCTCTATAGAAAAGTTTTTTTTATATAATAATAATTCGACGATGCCGAAGAGGAATATCGATGAAAATTTGCAAAGAAGTATTTAGTAGGATGAAGAAGTAGAAGAATTTACTCGGGTATCGATTTTTAAGATGCGTTTAATGATACATAACCGGAAACTGTCAAAATTGGTTTTAATGACATTTCGTATGACAGAAGTTTAAAAGAGGTGGGAATCGATTTTTTTTGTATAGAGGTGCTGTAACGACTGTTACAAAATAAGCGTTATTTTTCCAATATCGTTCTCCTGAATCTATTCTACTGGGAATTCCGATGTCCCGATTTAGTATGCACAACGTCCTTCCATCGCTTCCTGTTAACTACCAATAATTCTGCTAATGTAACAATTAACAAGTAAAGTAATGGTTATTGTTACATTAACGTTAGCGAACTGGCAGCAGTGGAAAACCACGTACGTTATAAGAGCAGGACGTGATGTTGATGTATCAAAAACGGACGTTGGTTGACCTCATTAAAAAGATTAATCTAAACGCGCTGCTCGTGTGACTGTAATGTCAAACAAAAAGCGAGTAAATGTAAATAAAAATTTCGTTTAAAAATTAACGTGAAATTATTTCGCTACCTAATCTAATCATCGGCTCATCTACACGTACGTACGCGTACCAATTGGCAATCGAATGGGTCCCAATCAATTTGAATTATCGGCGTTTGGGCGATAAAAAAAATAACCGTACAATTTTATTATTCATTCCGAACCGATTACGAAGATTGTTATTCAATTCGAAGCAATTTTTTGCCAGATAATTTTCGACAAATAACATTCGAGATAAAAAAGAAAGTTTTTTAAGTCATGATGCCGAGTAACGTTATTGTGGAAAAAACGCAAATATTGACATTACTGATTAAACACACATTAAATAGATATTCAAAAATAACAGCACAATTTATAACGGGCAATAAATGAATTCGTTAATCTGTTTGTTTTCCATTCTTCTCTTTGTAAATAGCATGCTAATGAGTAAGATGAACAAAAACTTTCAAGATTGCTTATTTACCTTGCACCTTCCGGGAATTTCTTCCTATAACATTACTTTTGTTAAGGAATTTACATGATATAAGAGAAACTTTTGATAACTATTATAGTCGCACTCTCGTAGGATCTATAGACTTGTCTCAGGACCAAAATCATTGATTCAGATATGATTCACATGTTAAGACTTAAGGTTTGTGATATAGATTCTAGGATCAATAAATCATTACCCATTGGAATAACCCAGATATAAAATTGCTCATATCCTTGCATATGGCTGGGTGCAACAATTCAAGACTCATGTGTGATAGATATTCAAGAACTGATCATTACCCATGGCTTGGCCCATATATAGAATTGCCCATGGTCTGGAATATGGATTGAATGATAGATTGAAGGACAGTTGATTGCTTATGGCTTGACCCTTATAGAGAATTGCTCATATCTTGGCTCGTGCAACACTTTTAAGAACCTTTATGTGATAGATTCAAGGATCAATTCAAGGACTGATCGGTAACACTAACATCATAACAAAACGGAACCCTAAGCTTAAGAATTATTAAGGTATTTTGGGAAATGGGAGGAATTGAAGCAAGGTAAAGGTCAGTTTCGGTTGACAGGAGAAAATCGACAGCATTCCCACGATTAAACTTACCTTGGGCAAATCAGGTTTACTGGCACTACGCGACCTATCGTTCGAAATGTAGTCCGGCACGTCCCTTTTCGTTCCGACGAAATTAATAACGAACGACGACTCCGAAACCGGTTCCCTCGGTCTCGCCACTCTTTTCGGCACCACGTTCCTATTCACGACTTCCACACTGTCGTTTTCACTTTTCGCGCGGTTCTTCGACGCGTTTATCGTGTTCTTTTCGATCTCCGTCACGGTGAGCGGCTTGTCGACGACGACGGGCGGCGGCGGCGGCGTGAACTTCGGCGGCGACCGCCTCAGCAGCTCGAAGCCCCGCGTGTCCGCCGCCGGCGATTTGCCGTCGTTGTGGCCGTTCACCTCGATCTTGAGCGGCTGCGAGGGCGGCGTTTTCACGTCGGAGACGTTCCTGTTGACCGGCAGATGGTCCTGCTTGATGCTCTTGTCGACGAACTTGAAGACGAGGCTGCCCGTTTCTTTGGATATTCGCTCGATGCTCGTCGGCGAGATTTTCTTGGTGCCCGGCGAGTCGGCGTCGTCGAATTTGCCCGGGCTTCTGCTGTTGAAACTGGGGCTGATCAACGGGCTGGCCGGTTTGATTCGGTTGGGACTCACCAACGGGCTGGATAGCTTGTGATCGCTCGGAGAGTCTTCTTTGACGAAGTTCTCGGCGAAGGATTTGTAGGTGGGCGAGTACGGCGTGGATATCGGACTAGTGGTGAGAATTAAATCGGGCGTTTCCGATAGATTCGTCTGCGGCGATTCCGGCGATTCGCCGGTGGATATCCTGGAAACGTCCGGAATGGGGCTGATCAAAGACGAATCGCTGTTGGACTTATTCAATTGCAATTTCAAAGCGTCTTTGGGCTTCACTAGAGATCTGTTGGTTCCGTTTCTTTTGTCGTTAACAGACGGTTTGTTACCTTTGATTGGCGGTTTCCTCGAAACTTTAGCTTCAACTTTAGCTTTGACTATAATGTTATTGTAAGAGTCCACTTTGGCGGCGACGTCGCCCGTCGTCGGCGGTTTTTTGGTCCTCTGTTCGGGCCGCCTTTCGAAAATCATCTTGGCTTGTTTGACGACATCGACGGGCGGTTTCTCCTTTTCGCTCATCATCGGTTGCAGTCTTTTGGGCCGGTTGATTCTCTGACTGAACTTGTTTTCCTGCACGGCATCGACGTTATCTTGCATTTTCCTGTAGCCGTAATCGTTTCCTTCCTTCTGGGCGGCGATAAGAGTCTCTTCGTTGAGCGATTGTCGATTAGAAACCGAAGTCTTATCGAACACGGGACTGTCGAGGCGAGAGACGGGCTCGACGGAGCGCGCCCGCTTCATGTCGGACTGCCGGCCGGCCGATCTGAACCGCAATTGGACATTGCCCGCGCCATCGCCGTTGGCGATCTTACCTTCCTGGACGTCGTCGAGTATGTCCTCGAGGGAGGCGGCCTTCCGCAGCTGTTGCAGCGCCGGCCGTCTGTTGTTGGTCTCGCGCAGCGCCAAACTGAGGTACTTGTTTTTGAGCTTCTTGACGATGCCCGGCCCGTAGCGCAGCTCCTCCGACTCGTCGGAATCGCTGCCCTTGCGACAGGCGTTGTCGACGGCGAACCGGCCGGTCTGGCCGTCGGCCCAGACGCGCTCTTGCACCATTTTCGACGTCACGTCACGCGAGGCGGCCGGCACGAGCACATCGGTGCGCCGCGAAACATCCGGCGTTACTGGTGCTGCTGGTGCCGATGCACAATCGATGCCACCGCCTGTTAGGTTAGGTTGTTGTACCGTTCGCTGGGAATGATGGGGGGCCGATTGGCGATCTCTCGCGCCGAACGATTTATTTTGATTCCTCAGCCTGGCTATTAAATCTTTTTTCCATTGAGGAATGTCGTCGACGACGGTCGTATCTCTGTTTGGCATTGTTGTTTCCTTATCTCGGATGTATTTTATTTTATGGATTTTTTTTTGTTAGCTATTATCGTTAACTTTTATCGAACATACTGACTAGTGTTTTACGCTTTTATACGGGACGATTGTACGTACATTTTAGCTGCGAATTCGATTTACCGATGAACTTTTTTCATTCAATGAACAAACATATACTGCACGTACACTCACACACACACGTTGAATTATCACAGAACTGAACAAGGTGATCAAACGCCGATATCAAAAGTATGACTAGACTACCTATCAAAAATTATAATCTACTTTCTACTATAATACATATTTAATACCCCAGATATGTTAAAATGAAGGTAACGTAACCTAAACACAAACAATAATGATGTAAGAAGATTAAATATGCAGAAGCTGGTTCCATCTATGTGAATAATCGATAAATACTTGTGAGTAATTGTAGTTGCCTCGAAATTTGTCTTTCATTAATTTTCATATTATCCTCTTATTTTAAACTAAAATTGAAGACGATTTAATTATTTATTTCTTTGAAATAATAAAAATTACATGACAGTTGTTACCTAACAAAAATCATTCAAAACATAGCCTGCATTATTGAAAGTATCCAGCCACCTAAATTATTTACTGCACGATTCAACAATCGAGGACTCAGTCTAAAAATTATCGTAGAAGAATATCATAGGTTATAAAATATGTCAATTATCTTACGTCACTTTTCAATAAGCAATTTAATTTGTGATCTATTATTTTTAGTACTTTTTAATGAATGCGTGGCTGTACTTACAAGCAAAATGAAATTTAATTATAAAATATTTTCGTTCATACTACTAACTTTAGTCATAGAAATAGCTTGCCATAACAAATACACCAAAGAAGCCAATCAAGAAGCCAAAAAGCAAAAGAAAAACAAAGCGAAAGATGATATCGAGCCGATTGATATGCGCCCAATTTCACTCAAACATTTAGATAGACCCTTTCGCATGGCCAAATTAAATTTATTATGGTCAAAAGCTGTGCTGGTAAATATTCATTTCATTCAAAAATTATACTCAAATTAAAGTATGTTTTTTAATGCAGAGATTATCCGAATCCAAACTAAAATCCATATTCAGCGATCTGAAATTACACGATAAAGAGGAAATAACTTGGAAACACCTTCGAGCAGAAGGCAAAGACAAAGATGGCACAATGGAAGCGAAACTGAGAAAGAAACTGTTAATTATAATGGAAAATTACGACCTGCTAGACCAAGCGGAGGATCTATCCGACTCCGATAAAGTGAAAAGATGGAAGCCTCTAAACGAAGCGAACGACAAACACATCAACAAAAGCTTGTTCAAAGATAAGAAATTGAACAAGCTGTGGGAGAAGGCCGAAAGGGCCGGTTTTACGCAAGAGGAACTGCTCGCGCTCAAAGAGGAATTCGGACACCATCAAGATAAAATCGATCAATACTACTCTCTATTACACAACGTCAAAGGAAACCCCGAAGACTACGAAAACAGTAATTTAAATTACATACACTTTATATAACAATTAATTGTAAACACAAATTTCAGATGCCGTGGAAGATTCCCTGGACAAGTTCAACAAGATCGAAGTGCAAGAAGAAAGCGAAAAGGAGCCCAACAAAGACTACATCGATAAGGTCAATCTTCTAAGGGAAAGGCACAAGGAAATCAAGGATGGCTTCGATCACCTGCACCTGCTCTCGGCCAAAGGGCCGGCCAGCAAGGAATTCGTCGAGCCCAAAGTGCAGGGCTTGTGGAAGATAGCCATCGAGAGCAACTTCACGCCGAGCGAGTTGCATTCGTTGAAGACCGAGCTGCTCCACTACGAGAACAGGCTGTTGAAATTGAGGCACATCCAAGTGGAGCACGCGCTGCACGAGGAAAAGTACAAGGAGAAGGAGAAAATGGGCATAGCCGGCGGTAAAACCGACAAAGCCTCGCTCATGGCGGAGAATATCAAAAAGCACGCTAGAAAAGTCGAAAAGATTCACTTGGATTTGGAATCTAGGATCTTGAATCGACACGTGGAATTGTAAATGTTTCATGCCAAAATTCTCATTAATTTAGGTTGCTAATGTCTGTTGCATTTATAAGTATTAACTTTGTATATTTTTTTATATAAAAAGCGGGTTGTTAGATTGAAAAATTCGAATATTGTACATTAACAAATATACTGTTCTTTATTTAATTTTAGCGATTATACTAAAAAAAATACCTACACATATTCACAGCTAATTTAGAACATATTAATATTTAATATCACCTTGATTAATTGTATTGCAATTAATTTACACAAATTCAATCGAAATCTATTAAGGTATATTTACATTCAATTACGCGCGTGCTCAAGTTTATGCTAAAATTTATCCGCTTGACAAATGACATGTGTCTATTTACATTAGGAATATTATTTTAACAAAATGTCATTTGACAAATGGACAAATTTTAAACTTTAAATACGCGCGCAATTGAATGTAAATGTACCTTTAGAGTAAAAACTGCACGAATTTCACCGAACAAATTAATAATAATCGAGCTACCCTAAATAACGAGAATTTGATTGGCAATTTTCCATCCCGATCTCTCTCATTGGGACTTCTTATCGAACACTTTACTCGAAATGTCCTCGATCAATTTCAACGTGGCGCCCTTCATGTGCTCGGCCACGGGATTCTTGATTTCGTAGTACGAGTACGAGACGTCCTCGTTGAAATTGGCCAAGATGCCCTGGTACATGTTGTTCATGGCCATCTTGATCAGATTGCTCACGTTGTAGACGACGTGCTCCTGCTTGAGGTTGAACTGTTGCTTTTCGAGCACCGACTTGGACAGCTCGTCCTCGTAGAACTTCAACCGCTGGTTCAGGTCGCTCACCATGTTGTTCAACGAGTTTATGGCCTCTTTGTTGCCGATTAAATCCTTGTTTTGATCGCGAAATTCTTCCAATTCCGCTATTTTGGATTTTTGTTGTTCGATGGTGGATTCGTACTCTTTGAGTTTGATTAGGGATCGCTCGTACTCGTCCGATTGCTTTTGTAGTTCGTTCAAACCTTCGTTGGCTACGGATAGTTGAATGTTCAACGCGGAAATTTGCCCTTCTAAATCGGCTATGGAATCCTTGTTGTCATCGATTTTGTTGTCTTTTTTAATCAGCTCCAAGTATTTGATTTCTAACTCTTCGTACTTCTGCTTGTAGAAGTCAGCGGTCGCTTGTAGATTGTCCGATTTCAATTCAAGTGCTTTTACTTTCGAAACTAACGCGTTATTGTCTCGTTCCTCTTTCGGGCCACCGATGATATCCAATTTAGTATTTATCGTAGATAGTATTTGTTTCAATTCCATGTTTTGAGTTAGGAGGTAGTTACTCATGTCCGGTTGATGAACCATTAAAGGATAATTCGCCGGGATTTGGACGAGATTGTTTACAGCCAATTCGGTTGTAAGCGGGGCGCGTTTGTCGTCTTGTTGAGCTTGAAGTTCTTCTTTAATTTTGTGCTTTTCGAGGGGTGTTTTTTTCGGTTTTCTGTGCTTCCTACTCTTGGCGGTTTCTTCGTGATCTGAGGCATCGGATGCAGTCGAAACTGATCGTAACACAGTCTGTTGGCCCAATTTAGTTATCCTGTTCAATATGTTGGCTCGTTTCTCGGAGCTATCCGATTCCTGGTCTCCGACTCCTAGGTTCTGCGGTTTCGGTAGCAAATCCGGTTTGTCCCCCGGAGTATTCGGTGATATCACAGCGGATTCTTTATTGGAATCCACCACTTTAGCGCCGTACGATTGTAGTTTCTTAGAAAACTCGAGTTGATCGTTTGCTTCGAATTTCACCAGCCAGCTACGAGCGGTGTTGTCGTTGAACGAAGAAAACCCGTCCTTTTGGAGGGTAAATATGAATTTGTCGTTGATTTTCGCCCTCAACACGACCGCGTCTTTCGATTTGTAGGCAATCAGTTCTTGGGATTTCAGATCTGCCGAACAGATTACACCGAGCCCATGTTTCCCCAATGATTTGTACGTTTGTTCTTCCCTGAAATAAATCGAGTAAGAATCTAGTCATTTCAACCATAAGACATTTGCAATTGTCATTGATCGATACGTTGAAACTTAATTGAAATAGTATAATTATTACTATAAGAAGGGAAATGGGGGTGTATACGTACAATTTCCATAAACCTACGACTTTTACGATTAGGACTTTGGTGCTCTGTGGTTTGGGCGATTTCGCGTCGTTTTGCACGTCTTTCTGGTCAGTTACTGGCTGTTTAGGGGGAGTGTATGTTAAATCAGTCTCGTTGGGACTTTGTAACGCAGAGGTTCCGAATAAAGATGCAAGTTTCGATCTAAAAGTTAATTTTACTGTACCTATGTAGCTTGTCGTGTTGAAACTTACGCATCTGTTGGGGTAAAATTGTAGTCCTCACTATCGCCGTACTCAAACATATTTCCAAACTTGAAATTTTGAAATTGAAACTGAGTTTTGACAACACACAAATTTCATTTATTTATTTTTTGTTTTTCTTCTTTTTTTCCAATGATTATTGACAAATTACGGCCTTTGTCTTAAAGGTGTCTAGTTACATAAATTGGTGGCTGTTGTACAGTTAAAGAATAGGTTAAGCGTTTTTTCTTCTTTTTTAAATGACATTTAATCATTTTGTGGCCTTTGTCTTAAAGGTGTTTAGTTACATAAATTGGTGGCTGAAGAGGTTTCAAGTAAATTCTCTAAACACAAAAATACAAATGAGTACAAATAAGTGCAAATTTGTAAGCAACAAAGACAACTTTAATTATTCTCATATAAAGGAAAAAGAAAGGGTAATATTGTGGTATTGCAACTTTCTTACATTAACCACCTTTCTTTGTTCAACTCATAGATTAGATCATATTACAACCAATTTCGCACTTCTTGTATAAGAAAAAAATTAGGCACTTTATTTAAACAACAAATATCGACTAACCAATTATTATAAACTAAAATCTTGAGATCTGTATCTTAACGAAGGCACATTCAACGAATTGCACACCCCATTGGAGGCCAAACCCCCGTAATTGAAATGAGAATTAGTCAAAAAACCGCACGTTTGTCCCGACAGATTATTGTAATTGTTCGCGTACAAATCGTGCTGGTTGTACTGCGTGTAGGAGCATTTCCAAGGCACGATGTACTGGAGATCGGCGTGCGCCTGGGAAGCACCGTGACCAGAAACGCCGGTTTGGTAAGGAAACAGCGCCTTTTCCGTCAGGTCGGGCTTCAGAGGCACCGGCGGGGTTTTGTTCGGGGATTTACTGGACGGCGATTGCTGGATGTTCAGGCTTCTTTCGTTTCTCCGGAATTTCGCGCGGCGGTTTTGAAACCATACCTGAAACAAAATCATTATTAAAATATACAAAATTGCGCTTCTCTTTCTCCCCAATATATGTATATTACATGAATAAATCCCAGTTCCTGCTATATTGTACAGTTATTAGATGTAATTAAGTTATATTTTAACAACGAAAAAATCCAACAATTCGCTTCGATTATTTCGGAACGCATGAACGAGTTACACGAAGAAATTTTAATCTTCACAAACCGAGAAGAAGACGAAAATGCCTCCGATAAATTGCAAAAAAAAATAAATAACGCCGCTTTGGATATTATAGACGACATTAAAATCGTTTACAATGAAGGCGCCGGTGTATTGAATGATTAAATGCAAATGTATGCGATATCGATTTCAATAAAACTTTACTTACTTGTACTCTAGCTTCGCTTAGACTAACTTTAGAAGCCAAATCTTCCCGTACGAAGGCATCAGGATAATGCGTTTTCTCGAAAACTTTCTCTAACGCCGCTAATTGAGCCGTGGTAAATGTGGTTCTGTTGCGTCTCGGCTTCTTCAGCTTATCCTCGTTGGATATATCTAGAATATAATTACGATATTTCAATCTACAGTAGGTAGATACCCCCGTATATTTCTTATTAATAATTGCACGGAAATTTTGCTTGTAAAAGAAACAAAAAACAAAAATGTAAATAATGGAAGAGACTTCTCGACTTGCAGTGTGTAAAGCGAATAACTAAATAGTATCCATTATTCAACCGACTAAACAAACCTTTTGATCTCGATTCGAAATCTCCGGATGTGCTTTGATCTGACGAAAAAATATGATAAACGCCCGAAGGCTCATTTGCAAACGCCAAATTTACCCAAATAATAGTAGAAGAACACTTCCATCAGATTCTACGAACCTATAATATAGGGTGTCCCATAAATAACTGACATTTTATCTAATACAAGTTATGAAATAGAGGCTGTTTTTGGGACACCCGTTAGAAAACTTTGCAAGTGAAAAACTGAACTCGCCTGTGAACTTTCCGATTTTAGATCATCTAAAATTTAGTATCGCCGTTTTGTTTTTAATACTCCGAATTCCGACAAATCGAGGGGACACTTACAAACACGACAGCCCATTAACGACCTTATAAATTTCACATCTTCCCGCGACCGTTAAAACGCTAAAAGGTACATACGACTGTAAAATCGAAAATTAAAGTCCGTAAAAAAAATTGTTAAAACGCCAATAAAAAGACTAAAATTAACGCGTTTACTGTCGACACTAATTTTTAGGGTTATACGGCCATCGGGAGGACGCAGTTGTTTCGGCGTATCAACTCCTCCTTGACATGCCGACGATGCATTCGTGTTTGTACGAAAATATTTCGTTTTTTCGCCTGATGTATGGACCGAATTATCGTCGGAAACTGATATTTCAAACAAATCACTATAATGGATGGGGAACGATCAGCCCCATTTGTCAAACTCGATGCGGCAAAGGGTGGCTTTGGTCAGGACGATTTTTTTTAACCAGCCAGACCCAGATGAAATAAGATTAAGTGGCATATTTTTCGGGTGCACCGGAGCTCCACACCAAAATCTCTCTACTCTCTAATAGTTTCTAGTCTTTTAATTTCTAGTCTCTAGTCTCTAGTCTCTAGTCTCTAGTCTCTAGTCTCTAGTCTCTAGTCTCTAGTCTCTAGTCTCTAGTCTCTAGTCTCTAGTCTCTAGTCTCTAGTCTCTAGTCTCTAGTCTCTAGTCTCTAGTCTCTAGTCTCTAGTCTCTAGTCTCTAGTCTCTAGTCTCTAGTCTCTAGTCTCTAGTCTCTACCTACTCTATAAAATGCATTGAAATGCTTTTTAAAATAACAATTATTTTCGCTTGTACTTTTGAAAGATAGAAGAAAAGATGAAAAAAAGATAGATTTATAGTTATCCAAAATATTACATACACAATTTTTCCAAATTTCTCAGTTTGTAAAAATTAATTTAAAGCTTTTAAGTATTCAATTAAATTGTTGTTTTTAGGTGGGCAATTCCGTTGCACCAATTTTTTTGTTACAAGAGATACAGAGTGATTTAAATTTCGATCACAAATTTTCTATACCAATCCCTATAACCCCTTCCCTATAACAATCCTCTACAAAATTTCCCAAGCATCGAATCCGAATCATTTACACCGTTCCCTAATCGCTCGAACATTAGACATCCAGTAATAAAAAAAAAATCGTCGGGCAATAGGAAGTAGAAACTCACCTTCTGCGGAATCTAGATCCGGCTCCGAACCGGAATGTCTCCTTTTGTGTCCCAATCTCAACAGGCTGGTGACAGAAAACTGCCGGGTATTGGTCGAACAATGGGTGCGCCCATTGTACTCCTGATCGCCGCCGAATTCCGACACATGTCCATCAAAAGTGTACATTTTTCCTAACCGAAAACAGAGCTCCTACTCCGATTTATTTCGCGTACATCCAGCAGCCCCTCGAACAACACCTATAGTAGATGCAAACAAAAAATATCGCGTATACACGATTATTTTGGGGTATTAAATTTCCACCTACCTTAATGCACAAACTGATATATTCCCGAATTACCCACTTAACGCCCAATTACGCGACGGATTTCCGCAAAACCTCAAAACAATAATAACGGAGGCCCCGATCAGATTCACCTGTCATAAGCGATTTCGAGACGACTTCGTTCCAATTAAACTCCCGGCACGCGCTTAATTGATATTAATGTTTTGTTTACGCGGTGATTTTCGTTAATCGATCGCCGTACGCGATAATCGCCTAACTGAAAAGCCGGTCCAGATTTCAGGGAAGGCCTGAAAATACCCGAAAGGCGGTTCGAGCCTAACCCCCTCTACGTGCCCGTGACTTAATTTAAGGATCGTGGAGGCGGGGTTAAGCCTGTTGGAGACGTTTCTCGAGATGCAGTCAATCTTAATTCCTGCGAGTACGTTTCATAAATCGAATAATTGGATCGCTGTATTAATATTTTATGTAGTAGGTGTCTATAATCAAATCTTTACATTTAGGTATTAGCTTATTTTAGAATTTTGTTGATGACAGGTGACAAGTGACAGGTGGAAATTTCCTGCGATTTTTCTTCAAATAACGCTGGTATTTGCGAAATTTGAGAAAAAAAGTAATAAATCAGCGGTTTCGATGACGTGAAAGGGGATTTCGACTGCGCCACATTAAAAAATTTAACAACCGTGAACAAGCGAAACACCAGAAATGGTTATAAACGAGCTTATTAAATCTCACAACACACACACGGAAGCCACTAAAAACGTCAACGCGATTATTCCCAATTAAAAGGGCAATAATTCGAAAAGGAAATAGTCCCTGAGGGTGGTGTTTTATGTCTATCAGACGTTTTGGTACGTTATTTAAGTGTTTTATTACCTTATTTATTTTCGTGATTGCTTCGCCTACTTTCTTTTTTGCATGCAAAAGTTATTTTGTATATTTGAAGTTAAATTAATAATTTGACGTATCAATGACAGTTTCAGCCAACTAAAATATACCTGTTAGTAATAAGTAGAGAAGGAATGCCTCTTTATTCATTCTAATAAAGATAAAGATAAATCGTTGTAGGTATGTTATTATCTTATTTTTTTATCCTAACCAGATATTTCGCCTACTTTCTATTTTGTGTGCAAAGTATTTTTGACATTTGAAGATAAGTCGGTAATTTCACACTTCAATATGACAGCTTTTGACCAACTAAGAGCCAACTAAGATATGCGGGTAGGTAGAGAAGGAAACTCTTTTTATCTTGCTCGAGATAAAGATGAAATATCATTGTTGAAAATATAAATTAAAAAAAATAAGAAATTAAGAGCTTTTAGTAACCGACGGAGAAGGTATTATGTATTTATCAGATGTTTTGGTAGGGTTTTAATAATTTACTTATTTATTTTCAAATTTGCTAATCGCTTACTTCCTTAAATTTATTATAAAAATTATTTTTGACGTATGAACGTTAGTCAATAATTTGACACTTCAATGACAGCCACAGCCAATTAAGGTATACCTGGTAATAATAAGTATAGAAAACTATTAATACTGAAGACATTATGAAAAATCGTTGTATAGATATTTTCAATTAAAAAAAAAAAAAGATAACAAATTGAGTATTTTCAGAAACTTTTAACGCTTCTACCGAATTACTTTTGCGAGTAATTTTATTATAATTAGCCTGTAGGCGTCTTACCCAGAAAATCGTCCCACCGGGCCCGCGTCCCGACGCCCGACGCCCACCCGCGCGCTTCTCTCGAGCCCTCCCGACATTCGGGAGTCGTCGACACGCATTCCAGAGACATCATCGCACGTCCCGGACGTTTCGACGTTTCTCGGTCACGTCTCTCTTCGTTCCGTTCTTGTTCTTTGGGCTTCCACGTGTCGCCAGCGGACCGTACGCGACAGGATATCGGTCTCGGTACCGCCCGAAATCCACCGCAGACTCAAATTAAAATCGACACGTTCGGCCGATTTTCGCCTAAAATTAACCGAGTTCCGTCTCGGTCACAAAGGAGTTTTCCTTCGGGTGAACTCCGTGGGTTCCATTGTGGCGCAGATTAGGCTTGGTGGACGATTTTTCGTGGGGAAATAGAATATATCTCTGGCGGAAAGACCTAACAATGGACTCGCAAACATTAACGTCAAAGTTTCGGAAAATTATGGCTCAAACGAACAATCTATTGATGTGTCAATTTTGGCTTAAATATTTCTGGAATTTCACTACTGTTGATGAAATATAACCGTTGAGAATTGGGAGCAAATGAAGGAGAATTAGCCTGTATTGTAACGCACGAACGGTAACAATAAATACTGGCGAAATTAATATTGCAAGTACGGAAAAAAATATACGGATTTGAACACCGGGCCCCGCACGAGTCCAGGTAATTATTCAAAATATTCCGCACATGCCGCCCGCATTCCATATTTTTTCGTACATAAATAATAAATATCGATTATATTGGTCCGTGTTTCGGTTAATTTTACCGGTAATATGGAGGAATAAATAATATTTCTTGCGTACTTTTCAGGTACTCCGATATAAATTGCCGTGTAGTTCACGTAAAATCGGATTCGGAGATTCCTCACAAAGACGTTAAGATCAGCTGCGACGGGATGGGGCTTTTACAATTGAAAAGCGGCCCGCTGTCTTTCCATTGTTTACGGAATTTGGCTTATTCACAACGAATTTCTATAGAAAGAAATTGGACCGTGTGCTCGAAATATCGTCTCGAAAAAAATACGTTAATTTTACTGGAAGCACATCTGATTACAAGACAATTACAAGAGCGAACTTTACTCGGAGTATTTGTTTATTTACATAGTGCGATTTTTTATGGGGAGTTGCGCAAAAAGCTCCAGAAAACGGTTTGGGCCATTGTTGTGCAAATCGAGTCCCTACCGTCAGAATCCGAAACTCTCACCCCTGATATATTTTTTTTTGTTTCTCAGCCCATAGATAATGTAATGTATTCTTTAGTCCGGAGTTACAATAGGTATCTTCCATTCATTTAATGCGAGAACAATACGCGGAATCTTCGCAGGTAGATATGTTCATCTAGGAAGGAAGGAAATTTCAACATCACCAAACCGATGGGCCGGGAAAATTAATTGTTCAACCTAAATGAATTACAAGTAGAAGTTACATGCGAATAGGAGAATAATTCGAAGAATCTCGTTCTGAAGATATCCTCAGCTTTGCACCTTCGACGGCGATTCGCTGTAATGTCTTCCGGAAAAACGTTCCGACGGGGGCCCGACCGAGCGGAATAAGTGCGTTTTCCGTTCGACCGGGCGTGCAACCGCGAAAATACATATCGCCCCGTGAGAGAGCCCCAGGACATCCAACCGCTCGAGATCGGAGTTCTTTCCTGCGCGCCCGCTCTCATTTTTTTCGGCTCCAAAAGGGTGCATGGAATGTATCGATCTATAGATTGTTCCAAAAGAGTTTAGAGAGTATAGGGAGTATACAAAGCTAAGGGGAAAAGTTCTCGGCCCGACAATGAAAGACCGCGATTATCAGTTGAAATTGCATTAATTTATTCTCCATATTAGCCGAAATTTTTAGTTCTATAGAGTATAGACAGTTGTAATTGATTCTAGGGCGTTATAGATTGTTGTAGGCAGTTTTAAATCATTCTGGAGGGTTCTAAATGGTTCTGAAGCGTTCTAAATAGATTTAAACAGTTCTAGTTGATTCTGAAGCGCTCTAAACAGTTCCAAATGGTTCTAGAGTAGACAGTTCAAAATGATTCTGGAGAGTGTAAACAGTTTTAATTGATTCTGGAGCGTTATAAATGGTTCTAAACACTTCTAAAGCGTTCTAAATGATTCAGGCTAAGAACTTTTCACCCTACCCTCATAGAGTGTATAGAGAGTAAAGAACTCCAACGGTGTCAAATCAGATAATCTTGGTGGTGAACTGACGATCAAATTTAGTTACTATATTTTAAAGAGAAATAACATTTTATACAGCCTATACCTGATTAAATTATGCTCTGTAGAATTGGCATTAATAAGGTCACACAGTGGACGATTTCCGAGAAGTTTATCGCAGAAATCGGCTCTTTTTGTGCATCAGTCGGGTCATTCTTTTTGTATAAGTGAATGGGCGTCTTGTATTAAACCACAGACGTCGTCAGGCGACGTCAAGTTGTGCGTAAAATTCCGTTTAATTCCGAATAGGAATCCATATGTTTCGAATTAACGATGATACGTATGCCGTAACTGATACAGGGTTAATATATTAGGCTAGTAGGTGTTCTCCGTTTACAGTCGGATGGGTTTTGCATGTCTATTTATTATTATTATTTTACATCACCGGTCGTTATTTATCGAAAACACGTCATTATCAAGCGTATCTTCTTTCCTGTAGCTATACCCGTGCCGAAATTGCGACGAAAAAAATTCCCAATGACCGATTTATTAGATGCGTTATTGGTTTAAACGCTTATCTTGTTTGCGTCTCGCGATTTTTTTTCGGCGCTCTAATAATGGGCAATTGTGCCGGGGCAAATGCGAGGTGGCAAACAAAGTTCGACAAGCATATGGTGGAAGGTTTCTATGGTAAGTATAAAGAACAATTACGGTCTTTATGCGCGTGTAAACCGAATGCACTCCGACGGAATCTGCTTCTGCTGGTGTTTACACGCCGGTTTTTCACGCTCCAACGGACACCGGCGATAATCCTCGAATAACGAGCGACGTTCCCGTTTTTCGGGATGTGAATTTGTTCAATTAGTAGTTGACAGTTCCACGTCGATTACCTACATGCATAAATATTTATGTTACTGCTCCAATCCAGAAATTGACTGGTTTAAAAAACGCTTTTATAATGCATTGCAGTGTGTCCCTGGATGGAGTTGATGAGAGGGAAATAATCGTCATTTTTAATTTTACGAAGAAAAGTTATTCTTGTAATGTATTTGTCCACTCATCGTTTCATTATAGCGAAACTTTTGGCTGAATTCTGGCTTCACCGCAGGCCTAATACAACTAACATTAGCGCATTGGAGTGAACCGAAATTATCAAGTATTATACCAAAATTCAATTAAAATATTTCCGCCCAAAAACACACTTACTAATGCACAATTAATTACGAATGCCCGATTAACCCCCTATGGTAAATTCACGCTGGGCGCGCACCAATTGCTCAAGACCGAATCGAACGATTAGTCGTGGAAGAAACGTAATTGATTTTTCTTTCTGTTGTGTACTGCGATACCCCGAAAACTGAAATGTAAATTTAGCGGAGACGCAGGAGCCCGAG